TTTTTTTTTTTTTTTTTTAAAAGGATATTTTTTTTTTGTTCGATTATAACTGTAGTTGATAAAAAATTATAATAAATATACATATAAATATATAAAATATATACATTTTTTTTCTTTTCGAATTAATTGAATTAGATCAATTGTTTTTTTTTTTAATTTTAATCATGCGACATCTTAATAATAAAAAAAAATTCGCGAAAAAAAAAAAAACCTGTAAAATACAAAAAAAGTAAAAAGTATCTCAAAATCTCGTACACCTATACACTTTTTGCATTTATCAATGAATTATAAAATTTCCAAATTAATTTTCAATTTTCAATATTTCTATAAGGAGAATTTTGAATGATTACGGGCTTGGGCGTTGTGATCTGCGTTAATTTTTGAGATTAATTAAAAGTCATTATGCAACGGATAAACCGATAATTATATTTATAATATGATGCACGCCAAAATTGGTAATTATTTTTTTTTATTTGATGCATTTTGATTATATTTAGATTATTTTTAATTTGTGATTTACTGAAAAAAGTTTAAAATATACATTACATCAGAATTTATGTATATCTACTATATCTGTCAAGCATCTAGATGCCTTTAAAGGATAATAAACATTATCATCATATATACTTTATTGTTTTTAAATGTTTGTCCAAAAACTTTTTTCCGCTTTTGAATAATTATTCCGAAGATTATTATATAATTATTATGTGTAATGTTATTATTATTCAAATTATTCAGTATTATTATTATTCTGATTGCAATTTTTATAATTACCACTAAACAATTATTAATATTATTAATTTCCTCCCAATAACGTTTGCAACTCTTCCAATCGAGCTTCTCGGACTTGTGCAGCGTCTTTCCTTCTCTGTTCTCCGAATGCTTGAGATATCAATGCACGTTTCTTTTCTTGTAATTCAATAACACGATCTTCAACTGAATTTTCAATAACAAATCTAAAGATAGAAACAGGTCGAGTTTGACCTAACCGATAAATTCGATCAATAGCTTGATCCTCGATACTCGGATTCCACCAAGGATCCATAAGGAAACATTGATTTGCTGCTGTTAAATTCAATCCCAAAGATCCACATTTCAAACTAATTAAAAAGACTTTAATTTCTGGTTCATAAGTAAAATCGGATATTGCCTTTTCACGTTGATTACGCAACATCTTACCATCCAATCTTACAAATTTAATATCAGATTCTTTAAGGGCAATTTCAATCAAATTAAGGAAAGACGTCCATTGGCTGAAGACCACTGATTTAGTTGTTGGGTCTTTTTCATTTGATATTTTAAGAAATTTCAGTAAAGCCTTAATTTTTGAACTTGGTTTATAATCAGAATTAATTATATTTCCGATCTCATCATCAATTGATTCTTGTTCATGAGGTGATTCAATTAGATGTTCCTTTTGAACTGGACTACGACACATTGGACAAGAACGTTTATCCTTATCAATAACTTTCTCAATGCAATCTCTGTCAAACACATGTTTACAACGTGTAATAACAGGGGTAGTCAATGACTCCAAGCAGATGCAACAATCTTCGTTATTTTCAATTGCAACTTTTAGGGCATTTATTAATGATATGATATTCTCATCATTCATATCAAGAACATGAGTTTCCATAATTTTTTTTACTCGTTCTGCACAAAGTTTGTGATGATCACAAAGTTGTCGTAACCTTAAAAGAGATTCCAAGATAACAGCATAGTTTTTCATAACATCATTTGACTCTTTCCATTTCTTAAAGCGTTCTTTTGCATCTTTTTCCATTTCATCATAAATTTTTTGTTCTTCTGCGTTAAATTTAACTTTATGAACAAAGGAATTAATGGGGGGAAGGGATAAGATGGGATGTCCATTAAACTGCATATCCTTTGTTCTTCGAAGGCAGACAATTTTCATTAAAACCTTAAGTCTTTCAATAGCTGCTTTATCACCAGCTTTTATTGGTCTGTTAAAAACACGATTCCACCATTCTGATTCATCAAAAGGAGTGATTCTCAAAAATTTAACAAGTGAATACATATCATTCAATTCATTCATAATTGGAGTTCCAGTAAGAATCCATCTTCGTTCAGCATCCAAACTATATGCGGCAATACTTTGTTTTGTTGATTTGGTACGAATTATGTGCCCCTCATCTAGGACAACTCGGAGCCACTTAACGGCAAATAATCCACGTTTTTTATCTTTTATATTTGACTGACCAAGTATAGAATATGTAGTGATCACTACGTCATAATCTTTAAGGTTTTTCGGATTATCATCTCGATTAGGACCATGGTAAACATAGTAAGAGAGGGAACCTTCCTTGACATGCATATTAATCTGATCAACCCAATTTCCAAGAACACTCAAAGGAGCAACAATCAAAGTGGTTTTAGAATAAGCTGAATCCGATTTGACAGGTTTAGGAATAAATCCTTTTCCATCTTTATCATATGTAATCAAAGCAATCGTCTGCAATGTCTTCCCAAGACCCATATCATCAGCTAGAATTCCGCCTCTAGCGAAATTAGGACGAGTTTTAGTAGAAAACCCGGTAGCAGAATTATAATAATAAGATTCTTTATTTTGCTTATTAATAACCCAAAATTGAGTTGCTTTATCAGTAGTTGGTTCTTCCGGATGTTCGTTTGATAACATCCAACCAAGTCCTTGTTTCTGATATGAAAGTAAGGGGGTAATCAATGCTTCTGGTTGAGGAGCTTCGGGAAGTTTTGCTAAATCAACAATAGAAATTCCAACTTCTTGAAGGACCTTTTTAACGCTCGTTTTGTCAAGAGTTTGACCTTGTCTTATTAGTTCACGCCATGCTTCGTTCGGTTCAGAAGCATTTATACCTTGAGACATAGGTTTAAGTGGCTCAAACTTAATATTTTTTGATCTTAAATTTTTCGCAATACGTTCCTCTCGTTCTGGCACTCCAAGAACATGAATATGCAGAGGAACAACATATGTTCCTTTTTTACCAGCAATGGTACCTTCAATTCGAATATCTCCGTTATCAATTAATGGGGCAAGAATTTTAGCCAAATCTTTAGGTATATGACCAACTTGATCTCCAAGAATATTATCAACACGCAGTGCGTTCCGATCGTATATATTAAATGGTTCACGTGTAATTGAAACCGATTCATTTTTGTTTACTACACCATCATAATATCGTACACCTACGATTTGAGTAATAATATTACCATAAACTTTTTGGATTGCACCTTCATCTTCCACAGAGCCTGATCTGTTTTCTAATTCTTGTTCTTCGCTAAGTTCCTGACTAAACGCGTCTAAATCAAGAGAAAATGGTACAATTGAAATGCGTTGATAATTTGGAGGATGTATTGTGGATGATGAGGAGGATGATGGTAAATATTGTGATGTAATCCCTTTAGATTGTTGTATTCCTGGTGAAACGGGTTTAGTGGACGTACTTTGAGTGTTTTGAGGTCGATAAATTGAAGAAGAAACGAATCCCGAAGTTGAAGAAGAAGATGGTGACTTTCTAAGTTTTTTCTTAGTTGAGGAACCTCGTTCTCTATCGATAGAATCATTATTTGCACGTTTTTCCGCATTTTTATCAGCTTTATTTTGTTTTGTTCTAACGCTGCTTTCTCTTTCATCTTCAATAATGTGAATAGGACAATCATCCGATTTGTGAGACGTGTCACCACAATTTTCACAAGAAATATTGGTCTTTTTATTACGCAATCTTGGTAGCATCTTTATGTTCGCGACGAAGGTAATTAATCTCTCGAATATAATTAATAAATAATAAGTTAACTTTTAAATTTCGCGTAAAAAAGGGCTTTACAGTCATACTCACGAAAAAAATTTACCTGCAAAGAGGAAGAGAGGTAGAGCGAGTAGAGTTGTTGTTGACGTTCATACGAGACTATTTGTAACCAATCATTAATCACGTGATTAGATTTTGCCAATTAAAAGTAACCATCTTACATCTTGTATTAGATATCAAAAAAGAATGTCAAATATTTGGGTTGCTGCAGGTACTGTATATAAAAATTATTTACAAAAATAGCTTTGTTACTTACTATTCTAATTCATTCGTTTGTCTAGCTAACGGTGACATACAACGCGTTACGGTAAATTTAATGTTATTTGTTCTCTGTTAAAAAGACCGATTTTTAAATTCTAATTCTCATTTAGGAACTTATAAGAAGTGGATTGTCTCCAAATTCTAAAGATTCTAACGGATACACCCCATTAGCAGCAGCAGCATCATATAATCATTTTGATTTAATTGAGTTTTTGATATCAGAAGGCGCAGATGTGAATATTCGTGACAATGATAACGATACACCTTTATATGTTGCAGAAAATGTAGAAGTGGCTCGAAAATTACTTAGCCATGGGGCGGACCCATTTGTTAAAAATTCAGAAGGAAAAACTGTGCGTTTAGGCTTCGTTTCTTTTATTTTTTATTTTATTATTTATGACTAAAACGATTTTATTGAATAGCCAGCACAAGTGGCTTATGAAGAAGAATGGTTTGAAGTTGCTGAACTCTATTGCTCTATAACGGGGGAACAGATACCAGCAGCAGATTAAACCAATTGATTCCTAAAACGCGTTTTTTTAGAAAATTTATTTTATTGCATTTAACCATTTAAATAATGTCATTAATAAACAATTTGTCAAAACCAAATAATTCTTTGTAAAAGTTAGTTTTTACGTTTTTGAAAAAAGGAGGACACAATAAAGAAATTATATTATTACTATTATACTTGCCTTCTTCAGTCATGTTTTTTCTATAACATAAATCCTTTTCATCAATCTTTGGCATTGGTGGTTCTTCATAGATAATATTTTCAAACTCGTACACGTCAAAGTTGAGTGGATGTTTGAAAAATTCGAAATTAATCTTAAGATCTTCGTCATCTGGTTCAAACGGTGGCTCTTATTTAACAAAAATATGTTAATCATACAATCTTTTCTTTCCGCACGTAAGTTAATTAATTCAAACCTTCTATGGATGGAGGACAATATTCAATATCCGGAACATCATCATCATCATGCATTTTTTTTGCTTTCATTTTCTTCTTTTCAACTTTCTTTCTGTCCACATCCCCAAATTTGACTGTCTTCAAATGTGGTGTTTTATTGGTAAGGTCTCTTAAAGCATTACCACCTTGCGTTTTTGCCGTCTGAGAACTTTTGGTGATATTTATGGTTACTGCGTTTTCTTTGCCTTCTATGGCTTGTTGTTGCCTCGAAGAACGTAACATTATTTACGCGTAAAAGACTTGAGTTACTTGAATTGGTGTAACTGTTTTGGCCAAAGATCAAATACACGTGACGATAAAATTTTAACAATTACTTCGATATCGTGACTTTGTTCACATGGAAATTAAAAATAAAAAATTACTTCGATAATTATAATACAAATATGAATACCAAGAATATAGTTACACCCGGTCAAAGATTAGGTTTTGCTCAAGATTATGTTGCTGGTCCTGGCACTTATGTTCGTGGCAACCTGTTATATGCAAGTGTGGTTGGCATGAAACGGGTGTCTAAACAAACAGCAGAAGGAGAAACACTTGTATTGACCGTATCAAGGGAAAAACAACAGTCAGCCATACCGGAAGTTTGTAGCCTCGTAAGTTTTTGAGGGTTTGTTTAAATTTTGTAAATGTAATACCTAATTATAATTATTAGATAACAGGTAAAGTAATTCGTATAACACCTAAAGAAGCCGTTGTGTCCATAATGGTCGTAGATAATTCGCCCTGTAAAGAAGATTTTCAAGGAATAATACGGTATCTATATTACATATTTCTCGAGAGTTATTTTATATATAAGGTATTGATTTATCTTTTAATCTTTTTTAAGTCAACAAGACGTACGCGCAACAGAGAGAGATAAGGTCAAGATTCATGAATCCTTTAGACCCGGAGATATAATCAGAGCAGAAGTGGTATTTATTTTTTTTATATTTTATATTTTTTTTATATTTTTAAATAATCTTAATTTTAACAAAAATTGAATCATAGATTTCTTTAGGAGATGCTCGATCTTATTACTTATCAACAGCCAAGAACGAACTTGGCGTAATTTATGCACAAAGTATAGAGGGTATATAAGATTTTCAGATTATGTTTAAATATTTATGTAATGATACTAAAATTTTTTTATTTCTAATAAACTTATAGGTGCTGCTATGATACCAATATCATGGCAAGAAATGCAATGTACAAAGACAAAAGCAATTGAACTTCGAAAATGCGCGAAACCATTTTAATGAATTTAATGAGTTCAACCAGATATCCCAAATAACTGATCTTTCTTATATTCCGTATATGCAGGTCTTGCGAGTGAATTATTCGCCACTTGTATATCTATATTAATGTCATTAATCAGAGCATCTAGTTTAAAAGAATCAGAGGTTAATTAATGGATTTATTTTATTAAAAAGGAAAAATGAATAAATAATAATTCATACCAAGTGAACTATAATCTTTTTCTGGGCGAATATAACCTAATACGACTACACGTAATTCCACTCCATAAAAGTCTTCAGGGAATGTATGCATTATATGAACTTCCTAATTAATAAAAATAAAGTGGATACGAATTCTCTTTAATAATAAAAGAATTATTTCGCGTTATTATCAAATGTATATTTATAAATGTATGCGTACCGCACTACGTTTTTCATTCTTATAATAAGGATTCCAACCTAAACTCATTACCATTGGGTATACAATAGGATCATTTCCAACTTGTGACCATCCAAAATAAATTCCTGTTTCTATATCCTTACAAAGAGCTTCTGTTGCTTCCTCTGGAAGATTTGCTTTTTAATTAACATAAAAAATTAATCGATCTCAAATTCTTAATCTTTTCGATGATTTAATTATTGGAATTGAAAAAACATTTCTACCTGTTGGGGTCCCTAATTCTTTACTTCCCCTTCCAAACCCTCGAACTACTTCTCCTTTCATTTTTATAGGATATGGTGAAATAGGAACATCAGGTCCTACGATAAGAGGTCGTGCTGTATTTAATTGTGCCATTTACTTACTCGCTAGCAAAAGGGCAGTTTTGTAGTTTGAATACTTTATGAAACAAATACGCAGCTAGCCTTATCCACCAATAAAATTCAAGTACATGTATTTAATCACTTAACTATAAATAGCTATTTATTAATTGTATAATTAACCGTTATTATTATTAACATTACATAAACAAATTTTTCTCAAAGTGAACAAAGTTACAGAAAAAATTAAAAAGATACATTACATAAACAAATAAACATTAGGAAAATGTCAATAGATAAAAGAGTAAACACGTGCATTATAAGGATACGCGTAAAAGTAATCAGTTTTTTAAAAAGTTTAATTTTATTCAAAGACTGAAAAAAAAACGATATAGTGAAGATTTACTTTACAAATGCGTTAATTCAAAAATCTTTGTTTGATGTAATTCATATCACATCCCTTTTTTTTATAATTATGAAATAGAGTATCCTAATATATCTATATTAAAAGTATGGATGCAAAAAAATAATAACTTGATAAAAAATAATTTGAGTAATCATCAAATGAAAATACTCGAACTTTTAAAAAACTATGTATAATAAAATTAATGTCAAACACGTCGTTTTTTGGATTGTATCGTTTCATCATCGTCATTGATTACTCTCTTTTGGACAGGATTAGATTCCACTTCTTCCTCATCATCATCATAACCTTTTCGCTTTGATGTAGATGATGCTGCTGCTGCTGCTTCAAATGCTGCACCTGCTGCACTAGTTGTAGGAAACTCAGCTAGATCTATATCACTTGCTTCGTCCAATTGATCACTCTCTTCGTCTTCATCGTCTTCATCAGGTTGGAAATCTTCTTCATCAGTATCTTCCGGAAGATTCTATAATTAAATATATTATATTTAGTTGTATTAAAATAACCAAATCAATTATATAATTAGTCTTACCGGATCAAGTAAATAATCTATTCCTGGGCCTTCTTCTCCCGATTCAACTTCTGATTCACTTTCAGATTCTTCCCTTTTATCGACGTCTGGTGGAAATGCAACCTGTTTCCCTTTATCACGTGATTTTGGTACGACATTCGTTTCGGTCACCTCTTCTCCACTCGCTTCCTAAAATAGAGTTACGCGTTTATTCTCATTGTAATTAATAGTATCACTCAAATTGCTAGCCTAGTTTCTACTAATTTTACTGATAAAGTAAAATTAAAAACCAACCAATTCTTCTTCATTATCAGATACTTCCTCATTCTTTGAAAAGTTTTTTTTGCAAATTAAAATAAAATAAAAAGGAGAAAATGAACATATTATAATTACTATAAAAATTGTGTCTTACATCATTTGTTTCTGCATCTCGATCCGATTCACTGCCTGCATCTTCTTCTGATGCAGCTTCCTCACTTATTTCAGCCTCTTGATTTTCTTCGTTTTCCTCATTTTCATCAACATCTTCGGAATCTTTGATTGCAAATACTTTTAATAAATAATAAAGCTTAAATAATTTTTAAACTATTCCTCTTCCCAATTACCTGCATGGCCATTTGATTGTACAACGTCAGCATCATCATCCTCCTCCTCCTCCTCCTCATCCTCCTCTTCGTCTGCATCACTTTCATCTTCTGAATCAATGGGGTCTCCCTTTCTATTAATGAATGAAATAAAATAAGTACAAGTAATAGATGTTTTAACTAATATGAGTTAATCTACCTATCATGCTGATCAAGTGAATACAATTGTGGTATCATTTCAAGTAGAGCATCTCGATAATTCGCTTTTTGTGTGACTGGGCATTCGAATAAACTTAAATGTTTAAGATTCGGTAGATTGCACTTAAAGGATATCAGAATTAAATAAAATTAGTTGTGTATTCTATAATTTCTTCGAAGCTATTCAAGTAAATTGTAACAAATAATCTGCTCTTTAGCATGGGTTAAAAAAAGGTCAACTAAAACTAATACTTTACCAGTGGTTCGAGTGCTGATAGGTCGTTTATTTTGTTACCGCTTAAATCAAGATGAATTAATTTTTCAAGTTTAGCGTCTGCCAACGCCTCCAAACCGCCTGTAAGTTTATTATCTGATAAGGCAAGCTATTATTCAAAACTATTTCAGTTAATATTTGAAAGTTAAGCACCAATTAAATGTTGGTGTAAAACTATAAATACCCTTCTCAATTTTGGTAACGTTGGAAACCCTTCTAATGAGTATAAATGAGTACGGTTCATAGAAAGCGACCTCAGGTTGATCAAGTCAGTAAGAGGTGTAAAATCATTTTTATCGGCATTAGTAACGTTGGAGATCGCCATGATCTTTTTATTATCAAGAATCAGCTCTTCAGGTTCGGTAGGGTCTTTGAACTGAAGTTTATTCTTGAAATCCTGGTCCGCCATGTTTAATATTTATTTTTGTAAAAGCCTACGTTAGATCAAACCGAAAGCAAACATCTATTCTAGTTGCAAAAAACGCGTATATTCGGTGCGACGACGAAAATGTCGATAGACTGTCTTTTAATAGACAGACGCTCGTTGGACAGACGGTTGATCTGATCACAGATCGAAGATGTTAATTGAATTTATCGCAAAAATATTCTCGACATCAAAACAATTCAACAGGAAATGCCGGTTACAACCAAGGCACCGAAAACAACAACACATCCACCGAAACTTTCATTAACGTATTTAAAATCCTTGACAAATATTGAAGACATACAAGAATGTCTTCAATTATTAGATTTGGAAGAAAATCAAGTTGATAATAATTTGGATGAGTTATTAGAGAGAAGATCAAAACTTGAATCAGAATTAGATAAATTGGAAGTTTTAAGGTAATAAAAAAAATAAGAAGAAATATTTTGTTTTAACACTCATTTAGATTTAATAATATTATCTAATTCTAGGCCACAATTAGGTACATTACATACACAAGCAGCAAATTTATTAAACATAATAAATAGTACTTCGTTAGTAGCAGAACGAATTAGCGCACAAGTACGGCAATTAGATTTAGAACAAAGTAGAGTTCAAGAATCCATAAAACTTGTTGAAGATGTACAGGAATTAAAACTTTGTATTACTGGTTTACATCAAGCAATGTATATGAAGGATTATGAAACTGCTGCTTCATATGTTAATCGGGTATCAGCATTAGATAAAAAAATACTTGAAGGAGAATTTGCAGAAAATTCTGTACCTTCATCCGAATATCCTGATATACCAACAAAAACTTTATGTGATGCGAAAGAAAATCTCTTTGTTATTTTTAGTAGAGAATTTGAGGCAGCTGTTTATAATAGAGATCAGGAAAACATAAGTAGATTTTTTAAGTTATTCCCTTTAATTGGAAAGGAAACTGAGGGATTAGATAAATATTCAAAATTTGTTTGTGGTATTATTGCAGGAAAGAGTCAAGCAAATTTGGCTGAAATGGGTAAGGAACAAAGTCATATTATTGTTTTTATTATTATTTGTAATTGTTTATTAATTTTCTTGAATTTTGTAGCTATTGGAACAAACTTTTATGGAAATGTGTTGACCAAACTTTTTGAGAATATAGCACATATTATAGATCAGCATCAATCTGCTGTTGAAACACATTATGGTCCAGGAAAGATGATTCGAGTTATTGAAAGACTCCAAGAAGAATGTGATAAACAAAGCCAAATTATCCTGGATACTTTTTTTGATGAAAGACAAATTCAGCGAAAATTGTTAGATATTCAAACGCATTATAATACACAAAAAAGATTTTCAGGTCTGCAAAAGCCTGGACAATTAAAAGAAGTTGATATTATACCAGATCCAAGAGAACTTGATGTTATATTATCAGAATTAGCAATGATTAGTGCAAGAACTCACTTATATTATCGATTTTTGGAATCAAGAACTAAAGTAATTAAAAATAATAATAATGTCTATTTTACTTTATTTTATTTTTGGGCTAAATATTTTTTATTTCAGCTGGAAGTAGAAGCAATGCAAGTTAATGGTACTGATGTTTCACTGTTAGAAAAAGACGCCAATAAGTATGATTCATCAGTTATTATCAAAAATAGTGGCTTATTAAAACAAGTAAAATCATTAATGAATGATTTTGTTGTTATAGAGGAATATTTCCTTAAAAAATCTATTGAGAAGGTAAATTTTGACATTAAGCTAATAATTACTATAAACAGTAGCTTACAAATTATAGATTTATAGGCTATGAGAATAGACAAATATGAAGAAGGAAGCACTTCGTCAAGTTGTGTTGAAGACGTGTTTTATATTCTCAAGGAATGCTTAACAAGAACTGTAATGACATCTGATATGGAATGTTTAACATCAATGGTTAATTTAGTTAATCAAAGTTTGAAAGATGATTATCTTGCTTTATTTAAAGAGAGACTGTTAACCGCATTCGCAACTGCAGAACCAAAAGATGCAAAATTTGGTTATATGGTACGTATTTTATCTCTTTTCGATGAATTTGTTATTATTTACTCGACTTTTTTTTTATTTCTTTAGATTTTATTGAACAATTTGGATGTTAGTTGTGATTATACGCAAAGACTTACATCAGAATTAATAACAATTCCTTCAATTACTAAAAATGATTATAAAATAGTTGAAAAATGGTTCACTTCATTAAATAATATTACTACTGATAATTTTAAACCAATATTACAAGTAGGTGAATTTTTAAATAATAATTTAATTGTTTATAACTTATATATTTAACTAAATTATATAATTCTTAGAGTGGATTAAATGAACTTTTTACTCAAATGATTAAACCAAGAATTAGACCTATTTTACAAGAAGCTTATAAAGATATTAAATATGTATTAGATGAAGATGAATATCATGAACAAGAAGCAGATGATAATTTTGCTAAAAGATTTGTAACTGGATTTGATAATTTAATTAAAGTTTATCAGGTAAATTGTGAGAATTATATTAAATTTTATTTTTTGAAATACATTTTTAATTTAATTCTAAAATTTTAGGCAACATTTACAGAAAATAATTATAATCAAATTATGATACATATTTTAGAATCTGTTATTAATTTGTGGGAAAAAACTGTTTTTGTAACAAAATTCACTCAGGTATTATTATTTAGTAAATAATTTTATACTTAATGAACTTAATGAGTTTTTTTTACAACTTATTCTTTATTTTAAAATAGTATGGTGCATTAAGATTTGATAAAGATTTGCGATCTGTAACTAATTATTTTTCAGCTAAAATGCAATGGCCATTTAGAGATAAATTTACTAGATTAAATCAAATTTCAACTTTACTTAATTTGGAATCTGTAAGTACAGTTAATTTAATATAATAATTTAAAAAAATACAATTAACTAAATTAATTTTATTTTTAGTTATCTGAAATTTATGAATATTGGGGAAGTACTACTAAAGCAACAAGTTCAATTACATGGAGATTAACTGTTACTGAAATAAAAAAGATAGTTGGATTACGGTAAATTATTATTATAAATAATTTTGCTTTTAAGTTTAAATTTAATAATAATTTTAATTATAATTTTATTATAGAATTGATTTTAATGCTGAAGAAATTTTAAAATTAAAACTATAGAATTAATAAATTACAATTTAAATAAATAAAATTTAAATAATAATGTTATTTAGTAAATTTTAAATAATTTAATTATATAAAATTTATTTATTTACCATTTTATTTAATATTGATTTATTAAACTATGTTACTAATACTTAATAATAAATATATTAACTAAATTTTGCAATTATTTTTAAGTATCATATAAAAAATTTTTAATACTTGTAATAAAAAATTCAAAAAATATTTATTTTTTTTATTTTAAACAAAATTAAGTTTTTGGGTTTGTAAAAAACATAAAAGTGATTAAATAAAAAATGAGTACAGTCAGACCTCTATAATTGCACTCTCCATAATTGCACCACTATGTATACCCTCTCTAAATACACCCTCTGGTTCGGTCCCAAGCTTATATGATCTCTAATTATTTTACCTCTATAAATGCACACACTCTTTAAATGCACTATTTTGAAAATTATGCATATGGTCCCAAGGGGTGTGCAATTATGGAGGTCTGACTGTAATATGATATAAGAAATATGGAATAAAAATAAAGATGAATTTATAACCTAAAGTCAATTAAAGGATAATCTATTGAAATAGTAGTTGATTACTAGTTTATCTTAAATTATTCTAATTATTCTAATTTTAATTTTTTGAATATTTAAACCTTCCTATTAGGAACCATTGATTTTGGTAATTCGTCTGGTAATTCACCACCAGATAAAACACCTTTACAAAGATGCATAGCTACAGCAAATTGATCTGCATCCATATATCCATCATTATCCCAATCAGCCAAATTCCAAACTTTTTTAAGTATATCATTTGATAAACCTGTTTCCATCAAAACAGGTCTGACAGAAGCACCGGAAACTTTTCCGTCAACAGGATGCAAAGAATTGAATTGCGGCATAACGGAAGCTTTATCAACTGAAGAAAATTCCCAATAACTGGGAGGAAGCTCTGAATCAAGATAACTTGGTTCAGAACCTTCAAAAGGATTGCGCTCGCCAGGTAATAATGCTCTATTTCCTTGAGGAAATTTAGCCATTAATTTTGGCAGGTCATTAGCAAGCGCCTAATGAGTACCGTAATAGGAAGTTTAAATACGGGAAAATCAAAGAAATCATGAAAAAGATTAATTTAAAAATATACTTGCATCTTCTGCTCTTTCCAATATATTTGGCTTAAGACTATGAAAATTTTCAAATTTGTGGAGTCTTAAACCTTGTTTAAATCTTTCCACGTTTGGAAAATCTCCTGGCGCTAATTGATGACGCTGCATTATTGTTATAAATTCTTTATCTAATCTATTAATAAGTTCATTCTGTTTGGATTGTTTACGAAACATTGCTGGCATTTCTTTTTTTAAATGCCCAATAATATAAGCATGCACCTGTTAAAAAATTTAATTTCTCGCTTAATATTCAAGTAGACAAGAAAAAACAAATGTCATGGCTTACCTTTGCTAATCTGGCTCTTTTAACGATTTCGTTTATCTTTCTAATAATTGCATTACGGGGTAGTTCTCGCATACTTTTGAGTAAATCATTTTGCTCAGCTTCAATTAAAGTTCGACAGTCCTCGAATACATTTGGAGGCTTTTCGGACCAAAATGAACACAGATACACTCGCATTACTTCGGGTGTTTGAACAACTTTACCTAATGACCACATAAGCGCCCCGTATACCCGCATTAATTGTTGTTCATCTACCATATCTGCTTTATTTAGCAAAACTTTAACCTTCTCTGCTTGTCCTTTTAATGAATGAATCGCCATTTTAAATTCATTCGAAATATCTAATTTATGTGCGTCAAATAGTAACAATATCAAATCCGCTCGCTCTGCAAAGTATTCAATTACAGATGTAAAATCATAACCACGATCTATTCGTTGTTTATCGCCAGCAAGGATTCCGGGGGTATCAATGATAGTCATATTTTCCAACTCAGGTGAAGGAAGTTGTGAAACCTATTATATAAAAACAATACGTAAAATGTATCAATTATAATAATTATAATTATATATGAATTTGAAAACAAAATACCTGAAACTTGGACAAAAATGCTTGTCCAAATTTATTTAGTCCTCGAAATGGTAATTGAGCATTTACAGCTGCAGCATTACCTGGAATAACCTGCAAATAAGATTTAATTTTAAAATCGGGTAAATATTTGAAAAAAAAAACGAAATAATTGTAATTATACTAACTCGATCTTCAACGCTATTCATAACGGCTACAAAACGATCCGTCTAAATTTCGATCAAAAAATACGGAATGCCATTACTGATCATACATGATATCAAAAATATTTTTTTTGGCTAGCAATTTAAAGAGTCCCATTAAATAACATTTTGCACAATATTTTATCTGAGGCTCTTAATAAAAACAAATTTTCTTTAAACTCACTGTTGGTTCTACGCCAATATGACTTTCTGCAAAATAAAAAAATAAAAAATTTAAGTATATTCCTTTTATATTACAAAAGTAAAGTAAATACAGTATAAATCGATATAATACCAGGATATTCTTTTCCTAATAAATATTTAATGAATGTAGTTTTTCCTGTTGAATATTGTCCCATCAAAAGAACAATTGGCTTGGCTTCAATATCGCTATCAGTTAAAGGTTGCGAATGAAAACTTTCAAAATTATAAGTGGTTTCTAATGGTTTGATTTTATTATTATATATTTTTTTTAAGCCCTCAATTATAGTGGCGTATTCTCCGTTAATATCGGAAGAACTAGAACTACTCTGCCCTTGTAAAGCTTGTGAAGAAGTACTACGGAAAGTTGAAGTTGGCGAAGTTGAATTTGATTTACTCAAGAGCGCTTCAAATTTATTACCCATTGTCAATTACTACTAGATTACTTAGATTAATACTATAGCTGGTACAACTCGTTATACTCGCTACATTCCAATTGAGCTGACAGATATCAAATATCAATGTGGTGTTATGCAGTGTAACATCTAAAACGTGCTTGACGATCCATGAAATTATTTAAATATTTTCCGATTGGATTTTTTATTTTATTAAATAACTATATAAAGGTACTATATGTATTTGAAGAAAGGGTAATAAACCTTTTTTTTTATGATTGTCAAAATATAAGAATAACTCAAATGAAATGATAAATAAAATGATAATGTCCTTTTTAAAATCATGATAATCAAAAGAATTTTTTCCGATTCATTTCCATTTTTTTCTGATATAATACAAACAACGCGAGTAAACCTACTGCAGCAACTATAAATAGAGTGGTATATAAGAAGAAATATAACCATATAGATGTGGTTGATTCCTTATCTTTTGAGTTTTGATGTGTTTGGCGGAAATGCCCAGCAATTCGGTTCTAAAAACGCATTGGAAATGTTAGTGAATACAAAAGTCATTAACGTAAAAAATAATAAAAATATAACTTACATCTATGATCTCAATTCTTCCCAACATTCGCTGTATGTCTTCCTTTAAATTTCTAATTGCATGATCGCTCGAACCTACAGATAGTTTTGACACTCTAGATTCAAGAGAAGATATGCTAGCTATAACCTTATCCAATTTTTGTCTAAAAATCAAAATAGATGTTAATCTGGAGTAAATTTAAATATCAAACATCAAGAATAAAGTTGAATAAGTCTTACGAAATAACAGATAATTGTCTTTCAGTAACGCTTGCTCCACTAGCATGATCGTTATAATTTACACCTCCGGGTTCTCGTATTAATTCATGTAATCTATCGAGCGATTCAAAAATTTTGGTCTGCATCCCTTTAATAAAATCGATGTTTCTCTAACATATGAAAGTAATTATGAATATAAATTATTCATAATATAAAAAAAAGGGCTATTTATAGATATATTTTTAAACGTATACTAACCGAATCTTCTCTATTCTTACTACCCTCTTTAGGATGCGATACAACTTTCTCAATATCTTCAATGCGCTAGTAAACAACAATCAAATCAAAAAAGTAAACGAATTATTTCAGAGGAAATCGCATCCATTTCATGAATCTTACTTTTTTAATGTCTTTGGGTATCTCATAATTTTTTGCTGAAACCTTTTTTATTTTTTCGGCCTCATGAGGCCGTAATGGTCTCTTTAAAAAAAAAAGGTAAAAGGAAGTTATTAAATGCTGGCATAAATTTAAAATTATCAGTATAGAATTACATTCTGTTTATCCACAGGATTTATTTCATAAGTTTCAAAGGAGAGAATATCGTGATCATCTGGCAGTAATTTAATAATATAATTGTTAATTTAATAATTCATGCAATTTTGTTTGGATAAAACGACATACCGGGTGTTTCTCCTTCTGCCGTCGCCTAATTCAATAATTAGAAAGTATCAACAAATACATATTCATTATAATATTTTTAAAAGAATTATAAAATGCTTACAGAAACTCCAAAATAATATCCAGTTGGCAGATATATATTTTTTGCTTCAAAGCATGAATGATAGTCTTTTCCTCCGTCATTTTCGTCCACTGCCAACTATGAGTAAAATATCAAATATTATGCTATAATCAAATATATATTGAAATTCAACAAGAAATGATTATTTGAATACCCTAATAATATGGTTATAATACGATATCCTGGCATATACGGGTGATGCTGTATTGCGGAACAATCTATGACATCCGGTAAGCATCGCGCCAACAGGTTCGCTTATATTATTATAGATTTTGGAACCATTATTAAAATGTGCCATTATAGAGGGATTTTCACGCTATATAAAGAATTAGAAAGTTGAATAATTTTTTACTATTGTTACCCAGAATCTGAATTGAAAATATAACTCACTTTTTTAGAATTGTCGACAGTTTCAAACATGATCACTAATCCATCCCATTTATCCTTATTTCCATACACTGGTCCTTCTTCGGCGCGATCTTTGGTGTACCAGAACGCAATTCCTCTGCCGCCAACATAAAAGTTCCCTGTAATTCTAAATGATAACTTTATCTCCCATTCTTTATGTGGGTTTGGGAGTTGAGCCCATATTGAACCAGAGTGATTTGGAACACTAGGCGCCAATCGGATAAAATCTGGTGCAAGAAGAGTATCTATAAATCAATTAATTCAATTAGCATTTCTAATAATTTGAGAAATTTTTGTTAAAATTTTTCCCCTATATAAAACAAATTTTTCCAAAAAAACCTGTAAAAAACTTACGCCCATATGTATCAAAAAACGGTACAGTATGATTATAATAATACGGTTTTTTGAAAGTAAGTTTATAGTCGTGCCTTAATTTAGGATTTCCGTAATCCTCATCCTCAAGAATATCGCGAGTATAAACAAAAGTTGGTACTGAAAGTATCAAAGTTGATATTAATATAAAGAACACAAAAGTCTTCAGTAGTCGAATGGCCATTTTTTCGAAGTTTATAAATTCGGTCGACTTTCCTTGGAACGTCTGTTATCGAAAAAATTTTCGTGGCTTTCATCAATTTGTCGTGTTTTACTTTTAAAATGCTCATCCAATCGTTTTATGACAATTGTCAAATATCCCGTTCAATCAAATTTGGTAATTTTGAATTTTCAAAGTTTGAAAGTGAAAATAAATATTCATTATATTTATTTTTTAAAAAAAATTCAATTTTTTGTTCTTTCAGCGGTTTTTAAATATTATCAAATTTTCATTGACGATAGAATCGATAGATGCATCAGTTTATTTATTACAATGAAAAATTTAAATGTTTATTTGGTCTTTTTTTTTTAATTCATAAACGTTTATTTTATCGATTATATAGATCTAACAACAAAAACCTTAAATGCTTACATTTCTATATCAATTCAATACTGCACTGAAAGTTTATTCATTTTTTGTTAAATCTAAAAAAGAAACCAATTCATTGATCTTCAACGCGGCGCAGCAATTTTTTTTCGCGTCTTATCACACAGGCAAATCGTTAGAATAAGTCAATAAGTCACAAGCCCCCATTTTAGCCCCGCCCAATCTTTATAAGGTAAAGATATTTGACACGAATTATTTAGAATCTACTTCAACTATTAGTGTTTTACTTATATATAGACTAGCCAATCATCATCGACTTTTGATTACCAAAAATAGGTATCACATTATGTATTAAATAAACACTATATTTTTTTCTTTCAGCTATAATTACTCAATAGATAGGCAAAAAATATTTTCTGTTCTTATTTCAAATTTTCATAAACTCTTTTTTTTTAAAAGAAAACTACATAGCTTTATAAAACTAGAATAAAAGTGTTATGGCGGAAGCTTTCATTGGTTACAGCGTACACGTCGAACTTGCGAATGGCTCGTCATTGGAGGGAACTGTGTCGCATATTGATTCTCATACGCAACTTTTGACTCTAAAAAATGGTTTGTATTTTATGCTGCTTATTATTGTTTCAACACTAAATATTTTTCATATTATCATTTATATTGACTGTTTTTATCGAAATATCAGTAAATGTTAAATATAATGGTCATTCTCAACAGTGGTCTATATACGGTGTAGCAGGCGCGGATATCAAAGATCTTAAAATTATTTCATCGAATTCAACATCTAATACTCAACAACCGTATCATGTACATTCTAACGTAAATACATTCGAAAATGGAGGACCGTCTTCAAAAAGTGATACACCTGCTCCAAACAACGTAGTCAACCCAATATTAACTCAAAGTCAACAACCGTCGACAATATATTCAAATTCTCCTTTTCCAGATCCTGCAATTATTTCGGTTGGTTACCTTTTTTCTTGGACAAATAAAAAAATATACGAGATCATTAAAAAAAATACATTTATCTTTTAGTATTCTCCGGCACCTATCCAACAACAATCATATCCCTTGTCGAGTCCGTATGGTGTATCAAGGTAAAAATTTTTTCTCTTTATTATTTATAATAACTAAGTATAGAAAGTAAATAATTGCTAATGTTGGCGGGTAGTATTATTAATTTCATGTTTGCTTATTATTATTTTTAATTCTATTTTTAGGGCTTCCTCACCGTATGTTGTACGTATCTTAAATTTAGATATCCGAAAAAGTGAAGATTGATGGCGATATCTATGTTTGAAATTTATTATTAACATTTAGAAAGTCGTTGTATAATGATGTCTATCTAGTATACCTTGGTGTTTACCCTTGATTGATTGCTGGTCTGACATTTATTGTCCTTCCACCTTTTGGCGCAATACCATAGAATCTTCAACAGCAGCACATCGACGTTCAGGTTCCGACGAAAATCTCCCAAACAACTTCAACCGGAGACAGTGATTCAAAGTATGACGAAGAGGAGACAACCACAAACGGCTACGAAGAAAATTCGAAGCGTACGGTTAACGGTAATCATGATTCAAGTGGTGTCGAATCGGATGTTGCATCATACAGTCATAAAAAATCTTCACGAAGAAAGAAGGTATTTGAAAATTTTTAAATGGCTTATAATATTCCTAGAATTATTTCTAACATACATTTGTTTGAAGAATCAAAATTCAAATGGCCAATACCAAAATTTAAGAACTCATCCTTCTCCTGGTATGATGTCTATATATTAATTCTTCCTTTTAAACCCTTAATTTCTTATTTTCTATTTTTTTCGAAATTTTTTATGTATTAGCAAGAAAATTTCGACGAGGACGTCGTCAAATCCATGAATGGGCAGGCGGGGATGTTAATGACTTTAAATCTGAAGAATTCGATTTCCAGGGCAATTTAGACCTATTCGACAAAGAAAAGGTTTTTGCAGAAATCAGAGTAAGGAAACTATTTTTATGATTTAATACCATAATTTGAACAATTTCATTAATTATTTGATTATTTAGGAATTAGATTCTACGGCACCAGAAAATCTTCTTGTAAATATTAATCGTAATCCTAATTATCGTATGAATCACCGTAACGGGAATCATTCAAACCAAAACTCTCAATCAAAATTGGCATCTCATGAGAATGTGCTTGAAGTTTCAACTCGTAAATCCAAGTTTTACCATACTGATGAAGAAGATGAAACGGCTAATGATGGAGAAGTTGATTCTGATGGTTCATGGAAAAAGAAGAAGAAAGCGAATGGTGGAGATCATCGAAAGGTCAAGATAAGAACATTAACTGGTGTTGCATGCCCAACGGTTCAACCTTTGCAAATGGTTGAAGTTGAAAGAATTGCAGGTGAAGTTAATTTCCAATTGTTAACAATTTGAAAAACGATCACTAACATCAAATTCAATATTCGTGAATTATTACGTTTTATAGCATTGGAAACTGGACCAAACGAAGACCAGATGATCGAAAATGCCGGCAGAGGTGCTTCTATGATGTGTCTCCAAGCACTTGGTATGTATATAATTAAAAAACTATTACCGCCCTCTTTTCTTAATAACAATTTTTTTTTAAACAAAATGAAGGCGGTTCACGACGTATACAGCCAAATAATCATAACGCAGCTCCGCTTGTCGTTATACTTGCTGGGAATAACAAAACTGGAACTTATGGCCTGGCTACTGCACGACATCTTGCAAATCATGGTTGTCACGTTATTGCATGTGTCGTTGGCAAAGAAACGGACCTACTCAAGGTAAAATAATATATTGATGAAATACGTACAAAGAAAAGTCAAATAATAGTATTAATTTTCGTTGATTAGAATGTTGCGTTCCAACAAAAGATTTTACTTCCAACTAGCGGTAAAATTGTGAAAACTGTTGAAGGTATATTATATATTTATTTTCGTACTTGATTTTTATTCATTAATAATTGACTTAGCTTAATTTGTTATTTTATAACTAAGACCTTCCACAGCAATTTACGAACCCTGTCGATCTTATCGTCGATGCTTTGCTTGGTTATCAATTCACTTTACGAGATATTGTAGATGAACATGATAAACGTTTAATATGTGATTTGATGGATTGGGCTAATAATAATAAAGCACCCGTCTTAAGTCTAGATATGCCTAGTGGCGTGAATGGAAATACGGGTAAGTATCAGTTATTTTTGACATTTGATTATTTTGAATTTAGAATATTCATTATTTAAAAAAAAAAAAAAAAAAAAAAATTTAAAAGGGAGTCCTGTTAATTCTGCACATTATATCCACCCAAAATGGACTCTTTGCCTTGGAGCTCCCAAAAGTGGATGTAAATCACGTACAGTTACCGGCGAGCTTTTCTTAGCTGACATAGGCGTTCCAAGAGTTTGTTGGAAGAGGATCGGTGTAAAAGGCTGGGGAATGCCATGGGGTAGCGAATATTTAGTTGGATTGGAGTATTCTACATAATGTAACATCTCCAAAGAAAAATTAAGTATATAAGTATATATAATTATTTAATGTACACTCTTCGATTATAATATGATATCATATCTCATTTGCTCTAAAAAAATTATTCATTTGATCCTTTTTGTTCTGTGTCTTTCCGTTTATAAGTTTGCGGGAAGCGAATTCGTGAATTCGTATTAAAAATACAAGGATTAATTTTTATATAAATTAAAGTGTTTCGTTACAATAAATTAACAGAACATAAAAGGAATAATAAACGGCAAACAAAATAAAAAAATTCAATATCTTCTCTTTATCATTTTTACTATAGGAAGTAAAAGATCAGAAAAAACTATTTTGAATGTTTGATATATCTTTTTATTACTTTAAATAAAAATAAATACGTCGGTCAAAATCTATTTGGAGTACTGTATAAAAATACGAAGTACTTATTAAACTATTATTAACAAAATAATCTATTATTTATACTAAAAAAAATCAAAATTTGTCAAGATCCGCTAGGGTTTCAATAACAGCGGGTGTTTTGATTGTTTTCCCCTTTAATGCTTCCAACTTTTCACCGGCATAAGAGACCAGCGGCGAAATTTCAAAGTTAAGATTATCGAATGATTCTCCATCACCGGGTACAATTTTACCACCAGCATTTTCAACAAATCTAACTTGTTGGTTTATAATATCTCTTCTACTAGTATCAGGATCATCTGCGCCAGTTCCTGGTGCGTTTTTAAGAGGCGAAAACTCTTCTTTTCTATCAACCTCTAAAACGGCCATGCGTTCAGTGAAAGGAAAAACGTCAAAGACAAATAGTTCAAGCTTCATACCATTTGGTTTTGAAGGTGAAACTAATTCGCCAGAAGTTTTATCACAGTGTTTAATTTTCTTTTTTGCTATATGATACTCGAGTTCATTTTCAAAAGATTCTACACGATTAAGGAAGTCAACCGTGTAAAAATGATTGGCAATATTACCCGCACCAAAGGAAAGTTGACCATTAGGTTTTTTTTGTGCTGCAACGGAAGGATCTATTTCGCTATATTCCACCACATTGAACTTGCCATTGCGAAGTGCAATGACGCCAACAGGTTCTTCAGGTGAAGTTTTACGAACAACTTTAGCACCACAATCTGCATTCTTGGAAACGCAATAACCGATGAATACGGGATCGGCAACACGAACAAGACAATTATCAACACAATATGCATGAACGTAAGAAATATTGCGAGCTTTTAATGAATCAAGGATTTTTTCATCCCTAAGTGCCGCATAAATTCCTCCATTACCATCGGGCGCAATAGCAAGCTTTAGAATAATGATAACAAATTAATTTAGCAATGGAAGAAAATAACGTTGAATAATAAAAATATATACCTTAGATTTGGTTTCCAGGAAAATCTTTCCATCGTTGGTCAATGCAGGAAGTGTACCTACCAGATAAATCACGTCAGCAAGAATCGATGAAGTAATCTAATATAAACTTTTTATTACCTTGTTCAAAAAAGATAACATTCTCTTCTTTTAATCCAAAATAATTATGTTGTTTGAAAAATGCTTCAGTAGCAGCCCTAGTTGGACCACTAGTCATTATATACCATGGAATAATCACCTCTGTAGTTTTGCCATCCTGAGCAATATTTTGCAACCTCAGAATACGTTCCGCTTGAAGCTGAAACAAAGATTTATGAGATGGCAAGCGTATATCATAACAACCTTTTGGAGCTGAAGAGCCAAGTCTGGTTCCTTGACCACCAGCCATTAAAAGGACGGCAACTTTGTTTTGAGAAATTAAATTCAAACCCAAATCTTCCCACTCTTTGATTTTCGATTTATTTGCGTCTAAGGTAGAATCAAATACATCATCTGGTAAAGGTTCCAAGTTTTGTTTGTCGGTACCGGGAGCAATTTCTGAGCTTGTTGCTTTCTTAAAGATTCGGTTGACGCGTTCAATATCAAGTTTTGAAAGTTGGTTGAAAAATGAAGTCTGTTCTTCTGGACTGAGTTTGTCATAGAAAGTAAAAAGATGTTCTTGTCCAGCTTCAGCATATTTTGCTTTTAAAGATTCAACTTCAGTAGTGGTAGACATCTTGTTTGATGAGGGGAGTTAAGTCTGAAAGTTTGAAGGAACATGATGCGTGTACTGGTATTAAAATTTAAAATTTTTATCACTACTGGTTAGATGTTGTAACACTTCATTACATGCGATTTTACATTCACGTGATCGAAGTAAATTTTATTGGTAGATTAAACACCATCAAATTAATCGAGACAAAAAAAATTTTTTTTTTAGATCAGAACTCTTTTCTCTAAGTTATTCTTCTAGACAGACCCCACCAAAAATGGTATGTCCTAATTAAAATTTTTATTTACGTGAGATGAAACTAATTTAACATGGATATATAGAAAAGAATATGATTACGTTGAAGTATCTTATTTTTCTTGTTTTTTTTTAAAAAAAAAAAAAATTGGTATAGGCTGATTCAGGTACAGCTACAATAAGAACACGCAACTTTATTACCAATCGGCTTTTGCGCAGAAGGCAATTTGTGGTTGATGTTCTTCATCCTGGTCGTGCTAATGTATCAAAAGATGAACTTCGCGAAAAGTTAGCCACAATGTATAAATGTGACAAAGAGATTATTTTTGTTTTCGGGTTTCGTACCGTTTTTGGTGGTGGTCGTTCAACTGGTTTTGGCTTGATTTATGAAGATATTGAACATGCAAAAAAATTTGAACCAAAATATAGGCTTGTTAGGGTAATTTGGACATTTTTATTTTAACTGATCTATTTATTTATTTATTAGATAAATATTTAACTAATTCAATTAATTTTAGCAAAAACTTGCAGAATCCGAGAAAACCGCTCGTAAACAACGTAAAGAGCGAAAGAATCGTGCCAAGAAATTCCGTGGTACCAAGAAGACAAAAGCTACTACTAAGAAAGAAAAGTAAATCGAGCAATAACTACAAATCTCTATCACATGAGAGCGAGTACTATATTAATAATTTTAATCATTCGACAAGTCATATTAAATTAATCCTCTTGACTAGAAAAAATATATATAGCTTTATATATGACAATCTAAAATTAAAGGGAATTAATTATATTTGAGCACATATTATTGTTTTAACGTAAAAATTTTCATTTTAAAAATTCCGTATTCAATATCATTAAAAAAAAAATATGTATTTTAAAGCAATAAATATTTTTAAAAAATGAATCCTTGAAAAAATCAATTTTAGCGAGTAGTAAGTTTATTAACAAGTTGCATCACATCACCAACAATCTCTAAACCACCTGCAACAGCTATATCATTAAATATAACTTCTTTAGAATTTTCGCCAGATTTCCACAACTTAACATGTAATTCGGCATCCAAACTTTCTTCAATCGTTAGAGCCATTTTTCCAAATTGTTTACTAGGAGCACGTAAAGGAATACCACTTCCAACCTTACGCATAATATCAATTTCCAAATTTAATCCATTTACAGTATTAACAACATGTAATTTAACATATTGCTTAGCGAAATCATCCATTGTTATTTCCAAATTGACAATTTTAGAAAAAAAATCATAAGTACTAAAATTATATGTAATATCTGATTTTGCGTGATAAAAAACAATTATACGACCGGCGAGACGAAATAATGATAGGAAATTTCTTAGATAAGGGACATTATATAATGGGTTATCAGGAGATATTAAAGGAAAATCTGCAACTGAAACTAATATTGAAGAACTTTTAAAATCTTCTTTCACTTCATTGATAAACGTATTTGATTGAGACCATATCCAGGATTTAGGAAAATTTACACCCCAATCTTTTTCAATATAACCAAAACCATTTTCTAAATCGATTCTATTTTCTACAATTCCATTATGTATCATATTAACAAATTCGATCATACCAAACGATTTATGAGACATGCTTACAACTCCATGATTACATTCCAAGAAAGGAATATAAGCGAAAGGACCCATAACAGTCGGAGAAGAATAAGTGAAAGGATATGGAGTTGTATTATTAAAAGAAATATATCCACGAACAGAATATGGAATATATGGATGTTTTATAATCGATGTTTTCAAGGAGGAAGGATCTAATTCTCTTCCTAAAATTTTTTTCCAATCTTTAACCACTAAATTAACGTACGATTCATATTCAATATCTGTCGATGGAACTAATCTGGTTGAAGAAAGACTTAATACAATAATATTTTCATTAAATTTATTCTGCCCAATTTTAATCGTAAAATCACCATTCTCTACGCTAAATTCACTAATATTATATCGATAATATAAACACTCATATCCACCACGAATTACCATAACAAAAGCATGAGATTTCTCATCACTGTGTGAAGTTGACTTATAAATTCCTGGTATAACTATGAGAGATTCTTTCGCGTTACTTGTAACTGTTTTGTAATACCACCCTTCAAAGAAATTTTTGTTAATTTCTTTACCATGATAAAATGTTGGTTTATATATTAACCGAATATTTGATATTGTTAATTGATAATTTATGCTAAATATGTAAATTACAAATGCAAAAATTATACTAACCAACGCATGTTTTAACGTAATATGAGCCATATTTTACAAAGAAAGTTTAAGACGATCATTTTATTAATAATTCACGTGAAAATCACTTCTAAAACGAGAATTTACGTGAAAAGCCACGGAATTTACCATAGAATCTTGCTTCTTTTTCATCAAACGAAAAAATGGATACTTTGATCGCATTGTTATCACTAAATCGGCAAATTACCGGAGTTTTTTCGAAAAATCAAACCATCTAGCATATTTGTGTCGCATTTTTGCTTAATTGATAGTTGCACTAATTTGACGTTTCTAATTGAATCGTTTTTGTTGTTAATGTTTCAAGTTTTTTTTTGTGGTATAAATTAGGGATGAGCACATAATATGGTTCCGGAATACCTTATATAAACATATTAAAATTTAATTTTTTTCGATTTCTTCATGATCATTTTCATAAACTAAAAATATATTGTTGTTAATATTGTAAATGCCTTTTCTTTCCGCTATGCACAATGAATATCAAGGGACTCCTCAAAAATCTCATCTTTCAACGATGTTTCTATTACGTCACTTTCCTAATAACCACTTATACACTTATATCAGACATCATTCTTCTCACATCATTAATTAACGGAAATTCCAATTGTAAAGAGTTTGAAAACAATAAACCCCTGATAAACACGATTCTTCAGGAAGTAACAAATATTGCACGTTGGGACTCCTCTAATGTAACTTTTGATCATGATGAACTAAAAACATACTACTTTCCAGACCTGGATACCCCCGCCCATGTATTGGATACGCTATATATTAATCGCGGCGGATTTTCTGGTTCCTTTAGTATGTTTGATATACTTGATGTGAAGGGGTTTAAATCCTACGCTGGAGTGGTGGGAACCGCAAACACATCTTTTCCACTTGTCGTTCCCGTTGCCGCAGCTGATAACCATACAGCCAGTTATTTTGCCATTCGAGAAGGTAATATAAGTCTGACGCCAGTGTGTAATGTTGAAATTCCCAATTGTTTTATGACAAAGCAGATTAGTTTCCCATTTACTTTCATTGAAACCGATGCCGATGTTCCGAATACCGTTGGATCTGTTCGGGTAGCATCTGACAATTCCACATTCAGCATTTATCCAGGTCTTCAACTGTACATTTGTCAATATACTCAAAATACGGCCAATTCCTATAGTTGGGCTAGACAATTTGCCATAGCAGCTGGTATCCTCATTCTCACATTGGAACTGCTCAAGGTCGTGATTTCCTTGACTGCTACTATTTTTTTGATACAATTTAAACAACCTAGTATTGTGAATTTTGCGAATAATTCACCAATATGGATTTTTTTGTTACTTCGAAATTTTCTGGGAACTGAAGCAATTTTACAAATTGCTATGAATCTCGAAGAAACAAATAGTCTTCAGATTCTAAGTGATACGTTTCTACATTCATTACCAATGTTAGTGTTATCAATTCAAAGTATCAGTTATCGATTCAATGAGATTAAACAGCCACCTCCCATTATAACTATTCTATCTTGTGTGGGCAGCTGTGCTATGCTACTTTTTAACTTTTTTCGCACATGTGTTTCTATCAAGGTTACGGTTCCAAAACAGCTTGAGAGATTTAAAGCAGAATTATCACAGTACTTTGATAAACGTCCAAAACAAAAACGACAGCAGTACTTATTAATTTTTGCCTTGATAGATTGTGCGATTAATCTTTTTCCTCCGATCTTCATGATTTCTTTAGCGGTACAAGGATTTAACAGTGTTTTCGTTTTTATTGTACCAATATTAGTCATTTTTGCCAAGATATTGATATGCATTTCTATGTTTTGGTCCCAACGTTTTCGAAAACCTTTATCATCCCCATTGATATTCTCTTTTGCTATGAATAGTCCGATTATCCTTCTCTGCATCATTTCTTCACCACTTAGACAATTAATTACAATAATAGCAGCTGATGGTTTTCCTATCTGGACCGGTTGGCCAACGGATTTCATAAGCATTGATCTGCCCATTCTGGTGATACTTTTAATGATGGGAGTATTTGGTCATGGAAATAACCAGGATGTAGCCCTTCTTCAACGGAACCTCGTGCTAGTCATTTTTGCTACTATTTACTTGGTATGGAGAATTATCTCAGGCCTATGGTATTTAAGGAACAGTATCATTACACGAGATAGAGATACAAATAATAAGGTCCATACTCGCTCAACCGAAACTTTTCCTATTTTTTATGCCCTGAAACTAAATAGAGAATCTCCAACAGCCTGGATTTTTGTTTACACTTTATCCAAACTCTTAATCTGGATTGTAGGCTTACAAATAATCATTACTATGGTTTTCATGTCACAACCTCCATCACCAAATCCTGAAGCATATGTTACTGTCTCGCCCAAGATTCTGATGGTGCTTGGTTTAGTTATTTACCTTTGTTTTGATGTCATTGTGTCCTTAGCACTGTTGATTTCGTATTATGGACCCTTTTCCACACGAACCATCGCACTTTATCTCAATTCGCCCTTCCTAATAATTTTTTATATCTTACTTGGTCCTCACTTTCGAGCTGAAATCATTGCCGCAGCAAAAGACCATGTACATGCATTACTTCTTTGGAAACAACGTGATATTGTGTTGATCTGTTCACTTCTTTTTATCTGGCCTGGATTTGGATTTGGATATATTCCTTATGGTAGTGATGACAGGTATTCATGGTGGTCATGGTATGGCTGGGGATTTGATGTTGAGACGAAAAAAGTGGAGAATATTGTTGATTCAAAATGGAGCTTTTCTGGTATATTTGGCGCAGTATATGGGTTAATTTTTTGCGTAACTTCGATTTTGCGGAATACGGTACCAATTGATGAATTGGATAAGCAAGAGTAATAAATTGGTACAAAAATAAAAAAAAAAATTTAAATATAACATAAATAAAAAAAAGAATAAATGTAGCAATTCAATAAAGAATTAAAAGAAACATTAATTATTTGTCATAGAATGATAAAAAAAATTATTTTTCCTTCATACCAAGAAAAAAAGACGATAAAAATAGCTATTTATTTTAAGATTTACAATCAGACGCTCAGTGGCTCGAGCATTATTTATTGGAAGATAAATTTAATTTATACTTTTTGATACTTCATATTATTAAATTAGAATTACACGTGGTGAATTCTTTACTTCAGATTTGAAATCTTTTAATTATATTTTTGTATAGAATTTATGTGATACCCCCATACCAATCAATGTAAGGTAAATCCGATATGACAAAAAATCCGGGGGAGAGGGGATAAACTTTTCATGATCTGTGTAAAATAATTTTAATAGAATGAATTATAATTTGGAAATTATCATCTTTTTAACTTAATTAAAAATAGCGTTAAAAGTTATTATCGAATTTCACATTCTTTTCTTATATCCATGAACTTTTATAAAATATTTAATGATATCATGATAAATTTGTTCGACAAAATCATATGATTAACAATATTTTTTACTAATTTTAATCTTCTTTCAAATATTTTTATCAGAAAATCTTTAAAATCCCTTTTTTTTTTTTATATAAATATAGGTTTTCCTTAACCAATTCCACACAAAAAAATATTAATGGCCAGTAGGAATAATTTATAAATAAAATAAATCACAATCTTTAATATTAATTAAAAAAAGACCATTTTAATGTCAATAAAATACGTTATGAATTAAAAAATTCCGACAATATTTCCCTTATATTAAATACTACTTACTTTATTTTATTTAAAATATAAAAATGGATCTTGCCTGGTGCCCTATATGCGAAAAACAAACGTTCGCCGTTGAAAATTTATATTGTAGTGAAGCATGTCGGAAAAAAGACGCATCATCAACCTTAAACGAAAAATGGATTTACGAATTCCCAAAATTTTCTTCACGAAAACGATACAATTCTCCATACAATTCTCCATACAATTCTCCATATAATTCTCCATATAATTCTCCATATAATTCTCCATATAATTCTCCATATAATTCTTTAGAATCATCTCCACAATCATCTCCAAAATTATATCCAAATAATACGACGACAATGATGGAAAATAACTTTCAGTTACCATATATAATTTCTTCCTCCCCATCAGATCATTTACTTTATAGAATGCCATCTACCTCATCTACGATAAGGCAAACACCGATTCGTCGATAATGAGAGTTCAAAGAATTATCTAAAAATGATTTCTCCATTAACCAACGTTTTTTGACAATGCTTTCTTCTCTTCAAAAAAAAAAAGCTTCAGTTTATTATTGTTATATAAATGGTTTTTTTTAATGACATAATGACATAATTTATTATATTTAATTCATTTATTGTAACGAAATTTGGACATTCATGTAAATATTACTCTTTTATTGCCTTATTTTCAGTCCCTTTTCCCTTTATCTTTTATATTTATACTCCTTTACTTTATTAATATAATTTCTTGTTTCGAGATGGTTTTCAAAGCTATAAGAGAGCAGGCAAAAAAAAAATATATATATAATTTTATATATATTATGTTTAATAAAAAAAATATTATTTTACTGGTCTTTACATATTTGAAATGCCATATAAAATTATAAATGCTATTCAATGATGGTAATATGTGGTTACGGTACATTTCGCCGAAAGCCATTTCGGCCGAAAAATAGGGCCAACATTATGCAGAATTATAAATAACTCAGGCCAGAGATTATTTTTCGGCGAAATGGCTTTCGGCGAAATGTCCCGATACTCATATGACTGATGTGATAATGCTGATAATTTTTTTTTATAGGATGGGCGAGATGAGACGCAATTAAATATCTGTCATACCCAATGTAGCTCATTAATGATAAGCATGTGAAATTATTAAATTGCACAAGTCAAAGGTTATTTATTTCCAAAATAAAATATTTTTATACAACAGAGAAATTTTTAAAACATAATCAAATATGGTAAGATTTGTAAAACAAAAAAATCTTCACATTTTTGCTAATTTCATACTTTTATTGTAAATTATCCGAAAATCGGTAATGTATATATCTGATATTTAATAAATTATATAATGTGTTGATATAATAAAGATAAAAGATCCTTTTTTTAAAATTGATGTTAATAAGATTTTTTTGGTCTTACAATTATTTCGAATCCAGGAATTTCAAATTTAAAGGTTTGGGCTCTATCGGAACATTGTGCGCAATAATAAGTGTTGGAAGACATGAATGGTTGTTCAATATACGGAGCAATTGACGTTACATCTGTTTGGTGTAAACCATTTGAAGTATCGTTATTGAATCCATTATCGTTAAATCCAGCATTATCGTCAATGTATTGTATGCCATATCTTGGAATAGTGGAATCAGAGTTGTAAGAAGTTGGAACCCGTAAATCATTTGAATGATCATTATTATTGAAATTGTCATTATTATCAATATATTGTGTGTCATCAAAGTTAGGGAACAATTTGTTTTTATCTGAAATAGTTGTATTAATACAGTTGTAAGACGTTGAGGTTACGTTTATATTATTGTTAAATCCAATATTATTATTGAATCCATTGAAATTAGCATTATCCGTGGTAGAGGGAGAAGAGCTGACAGTGGAATCAGTATAGTCGAATCTATTGATATCTTCGTTATCATCAATATATTGTGCGGCGTAAGAAGACGATTGTTCATTATTCGGAACAACAGTATCATCCTCATAAAATGAATCGGTGTAGTTGCAAGTTGAACTTACATGCTGTAAGCTATTGGGGTAATTGTTAATATCACTATCACTATAATTCTGATCCATTTGCGTGAAATAAATTAATAATAAATATCTTGTAAATTTTTATATTTCAAAAAATTTGATGAAGAGAAATTGATCAAGTGAAATCTTTTATAATAAATATCCTTTTTTTTTTATGTATAGCAATATCATAAATTCTAAAATTTGACATATTATTAAGCATTTTGTATTTTAAAAATAAACATTTTTAAAATTTAATTATTGTTATTAATTTTTTTTTTATTTTAAATGGATTATACGGGTATAAATCCGAATATAAACGGAGTATCCGAAATACAAGACGGAATTACCGACAATTACTTACAATATATATTATCTGTTATAGGAATTTCCTAAAGTTACACATCTGACATTTTAATGCTTTTAGTCTCCGCTATCTCCACATGATCAGCAAAATCTAGAAATAAAAATTTGGTTTAATTTTTATATTTTATAATACAAAAAGGCGTTAAGTATAAAAATCCAATATAAAGAAGTATAAAGATCTCGTAACCCAATGGAACATTTCCGTTTGGTTAAAAACTAATTTAACCAAATCGCGGGTTAGAAATAATCCTCTTTTTATCATATGATATTTTATACAGTAATAATAATGAAATAACAGACGCGTCTGATAAATAAGAAAATAAATTCATACAGTATATGCTAATAGAGCTAAATGTAATATATTAAATGAAAATATCTCAATTGCTTTGCAAAAAAAAATGTAAAATTGATTATTATCTTTACATCGTTATACAAATAGATTAAACAAGATTAAGCTTGAAATAGAAATTTGATACACGAGATTATCTTTGATTTTATCAGATAAAGTGATTTTAATGTCCAATAAAAAAACTCAAGCTCATTCATTTATTCTTAAACATGTTTGAGGCTGTGAAATTAAACTTTACTTTTGAAACTTTTCGAACTTTTAAAATATTTTTTCACATATCAAAATGACTTCTTACGATAATGAAAAAGAAACTTTGGAAATTGGTATAATAGGCTTAGGTGATATGGGTTTAATGTATGCAAAAAGAATAATAGCTAGTGGTTGGAAAAAGTAAGAGAACTTTTATTTATTATCTCTTTTAAATTATGTTTATTTTCATTAAAAAAATGTACTATTTAACTAATGAATAGGGTGAATGTTTGTGACCGGAGTGAAAATTATGAAGAACTCAAAGAATTGTTAAAAGGTAAATAAGTATATTTTAATTCTTTGGATACAATATATATATTTCATTATTTTTATAATTAGATAGCGGAATGAATGTTTGTCAAAATGGTCATGCCGTATCGAGAAAAAGTGATTTTATAATTTATTCTGTCGAAGCTGAAAATATCGATAAAGTCGTAGCGGAATATGGTCCATGTAAGAAATATTTATTAATTTATATTAAATCATGGACTTCAATTAGATTAATATTATTTTTCTCTTATCATAGCCACGAAGTTGGATGCAATTGTGGCTGGTCAGGTAAAGATAATTTCAAAACTAATAAATTGAAATTTATCTTTGTAAAAAGTTGTGAATCTTTTCCTCCAAATTTTTAATTTATATTAGACATCAGTCAAAGAACCTGAAATTCGCGCCTTTGAAAAACATCTTCCTGATGATGTTCATATTATTTCATGCCATTCACTTCATGGACCAACTGTAGATCCAAAAGGGCAACCATTGGTAAGTCTGACATCAGATAAAATGGTCAACTGTTCATCAGTACTCATCGAATGTTATGACCTTTGCTTTCGATCTTGCTATATATATTTTATGTCACGACTTTAAAGCAGTCTTGACACGAGATTCTAAAATGATTTTTTATGATAATCACTTGAACTTTGTTAACAATAGGTGATGATACAGCATAGAGCCGCTGATGAGAAGTTTGATATTGCTATGCGTGTATTGTCATGTATGGAATCTGAATTCGTAAAATTATCGTACAAAGAACATGATCGAATTACAGCTGATACTCAAGCCGTAACTCATTTAGCATTTTTAAGGTGATATTAAAAGTTTATTAAATTATTTCATTTCATTTTCTACTTATTTTCAAACTAATTCTTATACATATATTTAGTATGGGAACCGCGTGGAAAACGCAACGTCAATTTCCAGTAATAAATTATATTATTTTTTTTTATTTTTGATGTATGTTTAAAAGACCGTTTTTAAATTCTACTTTTTTTTTAAATCCACTTAGTGGGAAACGCCACAATATGTGGGTGGAATAGAAAATGTTAAAGTTCATATGGCATTACGTATTTATTCAAATAAATGGCATGTTTATGCCGGTGAGTTTATTTTAATATTCGTAAATTGAAGTATATATTTATTAATTTAAATTTTATATTATTAGGTTTAGCAATTATGAATCCGAGTGCTAAATTACAAATTCAACAATATGCACAATCTGTCTCTGATTTATTTAAATTAATGATTCAAGAAAAAGAAATAGAATTTAGAACGCGAGTTAAAAAGGTAAAAACTTCTTTATCAAGTTTATTAGAATCAATTAATATTTATATTATAATTTTAGGCAGGAGAATTTGTTTTTGGTAAATCATCCGAATCTCGTGAACCAATTTTATTATCGGATACTCTTTTGGATAAATTTTCTTTATCTATTGTTCCAAAAGAAAAAAGAAAACCAAATTCACATTTATCATTATTGGCTATGGTATGTTTTTTTTTAAAAAAAAAAACATTATTTGTGTTTGTAATTTTTTTATAAGCTGCTAGTATAAATTATTGTTTTAATTTAGACGGATTGTTGGTACACATTAGAAATTAATCCTTATGAACATATGGTTTGTCAAACTCCATTATTTCGACTTTGGACGTAAGATATATATTATTTTTATTATTTACTTGAACACATCATATTTTATATTAATTGACCTACATTTATTATTTTTATTTAGCGGTATTACAGAATATCTATTTCGTAATACAGACATGTTAGAGGCAGCAATTCATTCAGCATTATATAGTAAAGACATTAGAGCAGATGATATGGAATTTTATAGTGCATCAAAAGGGTGGGCAGAATGTGTTGATATTGGAAATATGCAAACTTATCAAAAAAGGTTCGAAGATACCGCAAAATTCTTTGAATCAAGGTATAGTAACTTATGAATTTGTTCTTATACTGACTGAACCAAACATTATGAACATTAATTAACAAGTATAATGGATTATTTTTTGTGTAATATTATTTTATAACAATATATTAATAGGTTTGATGAAAGTAACAAAATTGGAAGAGAGATGATAAAAGTTATTACAACCAAGACTCACAAATAAAAAGTTCCAATTTTTTTTTCTCTATATAAAGTATATAATCACTATAAATTTGAATTAAGATTAAGGTTCCGCATAAATCCGATCCGACGATTCGAACTTTTTGATTTGGTAAAAAAACTTCAGAAAAGATTCGATTTTTCGTTCGAAATAAAAATAAATGAACTGCTTCGTCAAAACCTTGAGTTTTTTCTTTTTTTTAAAAAAAAATCGGATCGAATCATCGGATCGTTTATGCATATAAATCATCGGCATCATCTTGAAAACCTGTATTAGTAGTATCCATTGCATTATTAGATCCCGTTGCTTCTCCTGAAGTGCCTCCTCCAATACCACCTTCAGGGAATTTGAAATTTGGTCCGAAACCGCGGGATTGTTGGAGAGTTTGTGCAAACATTTCGTATCTACGAATGTCACTATCGGAAACTGAACGACGTGCAAATCGCATAGCCTCTTCGAAATGAGCCCTAAATTTTTTAATAATGTGAATTATTATTTAAGAATACATTATTAATACATATTAAATTATAAATAATATATAATGTACTTTGTGATTTCTGGGACTGGATCATCGTCAACATCCTCGTCCATTATTACTTCTTCTCCAGCCTCTTCTCTTTCTTTACGTTCTCTATCCCGGGTTATTTCTTTATCGATACTCTCTCTAATTGCTAATTTACATGCACGTTGGCAAATTTCTGTCAAATCAGCTCCAGAGAAACCATGTGTTGATTTAGCCAAGAAATGTAAGTTAACATCATCTGCAACAGGTGATTTTCGCAAAGTAGCTTTTAGGACTGAATATCTTGAAGATTCATCAGGCAAAGGTATGTAGATCAATTGATCTAAACGACCAGGACGAAGTAATGCGGGATCGATTTGATCTGGACGATTTGTTGCACCAATTACGAATACGTTCTTCTTAGAGTTCATACCATCCATTTCAGTAAGAATTTGATTGAGAACACGATCTCCAGCACCACCGCCATCCCCAAGACTAGCACCACGTGCTTTTGCAATAGAGTCCAACTCATCGAAGAACATTACGCAAGGTGCTGCGGCTCGTGCTTTGTCAAAAACATCGCGTACATTTGCCTCCGATTCTCCAAACCACATAGTTAATAATTCTGGCCCCTAACAAATCGTCAAAAAAAAAAAATATAATATAATATAATAAGCGAAAATTTCATTTCTGAAGAAGTAATATACATAAAAAGTGATATAATTTATTTATTACCTTGATACTGATAAAGTTAGCCTGACATTCATTCGCAATTGCTTTAGCCAATAATGTTTTACCACAACCAGGTGGCCCATAGAATAATACTCCCTTTGATGGGGACATACCAAATTTCAAGAATTTGTCTGGATGTTCTACAGGATATTGCACGGTTTCCTGAAGTTCTAATTTAACTTTTTCAAGTCCACCAATGTCATTCCATGAGACTGTTGGAACTTCGACAACTGTTTCGCGCAATGCAGATGGATTGGATACACCCAAAGCATACTAAATTCGGGAAGTAAAAAATTTTAATATATACATGTATACCTATATACATAAAAATATATACTGATATAAAATCTTTTATCACATACTCTGAAATTATCCATAGTTACGGCTAATGAATCTAATACTTCAGCGTCAATTGTTTCATCTTCTAAGTCGATTAAGTCCATCTTCTCACGAATTTGCTGCATAGCAGCTTCTGAACAAAGTGAAGCTATATCAGAACCAACATAACCGTGAGTTTCGGAAGCGATCTATATGGATAAAAGAAATATTATGTATTAAAATATATTTTAAATATAATATGCGTATTTAAAGTAGTAAATAATGATTAACCTTTTCTAAATCCACGTCTTCATCCAATTTCATATTTTTTGTGTGAATACGTAGAATTTCCAAACGTCCAACAGGATCAGGAATACCAATATCGATTTCACGATCGAAACGACCGAAACGTCGAAGGGCCGGATCAATACTATTAGGACGATTTGTGGCTGCCATAACTACTACGTTTGATCGTGCCTTCATACCATCCATAAGTGTAAGGAGTTGAGATACAACACGTCGCTCTACTTCACCATTAGTCTGGAGAAAAAACGAGAATAATATTAATAAGCAGGATATCTTTTCTTATGAAATGTATAATAAATAACTTACTTTTTCACGCTTAGGAGCAATAGCATCGATTTCATCAATGAAGATAATTGCAGGACTATTCTTCTCTGCTTCTTCAAAAGCCTTTCTTAGATTGCTTTCGGATTCACCAGCCATCTTTGACATAATCTCGGGACCATTGATCAGGAAGAAGAAAGCACCGGTTTCGTTTGCAACAGCACGTGCAATTAATGTTTTACCGGTACCAGGGGGACCATACATAAGAATACCACGTGGTGGCTTAATACCAATTGATTTAAATAGCTGTGGATGTCGAAGGGGAAGTTCTACAAGTTCACGAATTTGAGCCATTTGTTTTCGACATCCTCCAATATCATCGTAACCAACATCGTTAAGATTAGCCTCTTCATCTTCGCGTCTGATTGGATCACCTTCACAATGTATAACTGTATCTTGTGCAACCTATATTTAGATGAAAATTCATGTAAATCATTATTTATACCATTGGAATTTTCTTATATAAATCATCAGTACTTACAATACAATAATCTGGTGGATCTGTTTCTACAACTTTGAATTCTACGGCTCTCATACCACCTCTAACCAAAAACAAATCTCCCTTTCTTACAGGTCGATATGCTTCTAAGAAGTATGGTTTTAAGTATACATCAAATAAATTACCGGTTACACCTTCAATTGTATCATCTATCGGCAATACATGAATACGTTTTCCGTATTTTATTTCTGTACAGGGATGAATTGAAACTACGTCACCGAGACGCACACGAAGATTATTTCTTACAACTAACAAATAAAAAAAAAATTTTTTTTTTTTATTAAATTATTAAAATTTGTTATAAGTTACTAAATAGATCAAGAAATCGATAAATAAAATTAAAATTAGAATTGAATAGTTTACCTTTATTGATCTTTACTTTTGAATCTTCACATGTATCATCAGCCAAAACAATTAAGACAGTATCACGTCTCTTTTTTCCTTTGATCAAAACGGTATCACCACGGAAAAGTTGTAATTTTTCCATGGTGTTTGTAGAGAGGGACATTACAGAGTTATCATCGTTCGTGGCGTCGTCAACAATTAGTTTATTTGGTGCTTGTTTTTTTCGAAGTATTGCTGTTGCGGGATCGTGACTTGGGTCTGGATTGGGTGGTACGATAGCAGCGTTCTCACTTTAAAACCAATTAATTGTCAATAAAATATATTCAATATAATTGTTATGAAGAATGATGGAATTTTTAGAATTACATTCAAAAGAAAAAAGTCAGTTTTCAGATCAAAGAAACAAGACATAAAGGTCCAGGAGTTTACAATTTAAGAATATAAACAAAAGCATAAATATAAGAAAAAGTAATTTACATACACTAGTTTTCCCTTTCCCTCAGACATTTTATATTCAGTCAAAGTTATTTCTTCGAATACTTTTTTTTTTTTTTTTGATATATAAAACAAAAATAAAACACAAAAAATAGATTTTTTAAAAAAACGAAACGTGTTGAGTTAAACAAAAAAGTTTTTACAAAACGGATGGATTTCCCAGCAGGTATTTATAATAATGAACTTACACGGAGTAAGCCGCGATATTTGCTGGTCAGAACCGTAAAATATCCTAGAGAAGGCTTAGGAAGCTAATATCAATAATCAAGGGGAAAGAGCTTACGCAAACCAGTGATGACGCGGTCACGTTGCAGAGTTTCACTAAGTATTAATCAGTTAATCTGAATGGTAATCTCTTATGTCGGATTCATTTATTACTTTCACCTTGTGTAATATTTATGTAATATCAATATAAAAATTTGAATATTATCATGTATCGGACAACGGAATTCATTCCAGTTTTCCCTTTCTCGGAGGATTATAAAAAAAGTATCACTGTTCGTCGAAAATCTTGATAAGTCGTACAAACAAACAAAAAAGTAGAAGATAAGCACACACGTGGAAAAAAAAATTACAAAATTACATGAATCTGGAAAGACCTAGACAATTAGATAACCTGAATATTATAATATGACACATCTAGATTTTTACCTTTTTTAATACGGTAATATAGTAATCACATGAAAGAAAGTTATTAACCGACAAAGAATGACAAAAGACCCGAAACTGATCGGTTAACTTACCAAAAGTTATATTTTTTAACACGCCTCCTTTATTTATTAATAAAACTGGTGTCAAACTTAACACAAATACCACAATAACCGTACATATACCTTTATACCTTTCTAACTTTCTAACTTAAATAAAAAATAAGACATTTTCGAAAGGCAAAAATTATAATATTATGCACATTTGAATTACGAAAAAAAAATTATGATTATATGCTTATCTTACAAAAAAAAAAAAATATATATAATCACAAAAAACAAAAATAAACTAATAAAATTAAAATAAAAAATAAAATAATCCAAAGTTCAACTTCACGAGTTTATGGACGGAAAATGGCGACCGCTTTTAAACAAGCGATACGTCTATTATCTGGCGTATAAACTAGGGCATCAACGATATATTTACCCTTGATAACGAAGAGTTAAAAAAAAAAAAAATTATTAAATGAAATGAAGAAATTGCTATATATAAAAATGAAAAGTAAAATGTTATAATATAAATACTCACAGGAGGAATTTCTTTCGGTAAGTCAATAGTAGTCGATAATTGCTGATCTCCTTGTTCAAGTGGACAAGGTTTATTGACTTTTTGAGATTCTTCGCACAAGTCAAATCTCTTTTGTAAAAGTTTAATTAAACCCAGCTTTACAGTCACGTCAATGTAACTACCTTGTCCAACTTCTTCCTTCAAATAACCAGCCGCATCAATTTTTAGTTGTCTACCCTTGAGCGGTGGATCTGGACTTAGATGAATATAATCGATTCGAAGGATATCATTACCATTACTACAGTCAGAAATAGTTTCAGTTATAGTGTTCACAGGGAACTCTTTTGCAAGAAGAAGTAGTTGTCCTTCATCTTCGTATGTTGTAATACACCCATTATGAAGTGGAACGGCATTTGTAAATACTACTAAGAAAAAGCACACGAGAAAAATGTTTTTCTTCATAGCTAAGATTATATATTATGGCGATTAAAAATCAAAAGGGGGTTAAATGATCCAAGGATCGATTTATAAATTAAAAAAAGAGTTACACGATTGGAGAATCATGATGCAATTAGAATGTCGTACAAGATGACAACTATAATTAATCTTTTAATCAATTATTCATTAGGCGTATCAGAAATACGATTAAAAATTCAAAATTCACAGACAATTTTTTTTTTGGAGAATAAAAACCATAAAAAAACCCACGAACGCAGAAATAATAATATAATAAAGTTGGATTTAAACGAATCCTTCAGTACATAAAATAAAATATACATCAAATAGATTATAATGATTGGATGGTAATTTAATAATTTTACTTACCCGATTTGGTCTAATTTTTTTTGTGAAATACAATCCCTATATAAGGAAATCGAGTTAAAAAAATTCCGGTAGTCCTAATACTGTCATTATTAGCACATGGGAAAATGGTAGGTATCACAATAATTAATACAGGAAACAACGAAGAGAAAATACTCAGCAGAACCGGAAAGTAAGTATTCGGCAAAATCAACAAATATTACGACTAATGCATTACAACAGATGTTGCAATAAATAGAACGAGAAATAATGTTGCAACAGTTAGAAACACAAAGATTTCTCGCAGCCCTGCAAGATAAAATGATCAAATCTTCGTAAGACGGATATTGTCGTATATACTCTTTATTAAAATAGAACCAAAATTTCACAAGGAATGTAATTTAGACAATACTATTATTGTCTGCTGACGATTACGCCACATGATGTTAAACTATATCCTTTTTCTTTTTAAAATTGTATATACAGAAATGGTATATATGTATATAAATAATTACATTATTAGTATGAAAATCTAGATTTATTTACATTCTAATGTAATGCAAACACAATAATGTAATGATATGCAATAAAATTATAAATAATGAAGTATTGAAATAATAAAATATTAATATTTAATTCTTAAAAAAATTCTAAATCAATTTTACCATTTGAACTACGTAATGTAAGTTCATTATTGTTATTTTCACCCTTATAACCACTTTTTGATGAACTAGTATTGACGTTATAATTTATCTGGTCATGACTTCCTTCAATTGCGGATTTTCCATTAGAAGTTTGCAAATTAAATCGACCTTTATATAAGTCAGACTAAATAAAAAGTAATATTAATTAATTAATTACATATATGTATTCATAAAGTTTGTAATTTTGAAGAAAAGAAAACTTACAACTAAAGTATTAATCTTTCCGTTTGATGTCATTCCAGATATTCGAACAAGCTCAGATGAATTAACGAGATTTAATTTAGCATTAATATTACCATTGCTTGTTGAAGCATGCCATTCACCATCAACATCATATACACCATTAATTTTTCCATTGCTCGTACCTAAAATAATTTTACCGGAATTGTTTTGAGATGCTCTTGCTATGTTTAAATCTATACCACTATTTGATGTATGAGCCTTAAATAATAGCGCTAAAGGAAAAGATCCTCGAATAGCTGCATTAGATGTGACGAGTTTAATTGATTTTGGTGTCGAATCAGAAAAAGAATTAGTGGTAGCATTTATTTGAGAATTACTAGTTTCAAGTAAAAGAGAATCATCAATATAATAGTTTCCAGATATTTGACCCCGAGATTTAACACTAATTTCGCGTGATTTTAAACCCTATAAAATAGACTTATATTAGCAAGTGATTGCCTTAATTTGATTTTGACAATAATAATAATTACCTTAACATTTATAGAAGGATTTAATTTCCAATCAACGTTATCAAATGTGATATTTTTCAAATCATCATCATTAATATTAAGGTTAATAACGTTAATAGAAAATTTACCAAATCCTTTTAAATCTCTTGGGAACGTGATGTCAATATTTGTTAATACACAATTCGGAAAACCACAAAATTCAGGAGTTTTCACTTGAAGAATATAATTTGGTGAATCATCAGATACCAATATTTCAACTTTGTCTTGTAAAATTTCGTCACTGAGTAATATTTGTGTTTTAACTTTAATCGATGATGTATTATTTGATGATCGTGTTACAAGTAAATTTCCATGCTAATTAGAATGAATTAACATATTAACATAGGTATTGCTTGTTTAATGTAGAATATTTGAGCGATATATTACGACTTACAGCGCTACCCGACACGATTAATTCAAGGTTATTGAATTCATTAGGGTCGATTACAAATTCTTTTGGACCTTTCCATGGAATATCAGGATGTTGCCATCCAGGTTGATGCCATCCATTGCTATTAAAGAATGAATTACCCATAAATGGACGCTAATAATAATAAAAAAAAAGATAGAATTAAATCAAATTATTCGAATTTTTTAGATAAAATACTTTTAACTAATTGCTTACCTTTGCAAATAATAAAATTACGGTTAAAAACAATAATATAACAAAAAAATTTTTAGAAAATTTGTAGCTTTTCTTTACTATATGTTGTTTTAATGGGGGCGCAGAAAACTTTATACGTACATAATTAGGAAAAGGCTGCTGCGCCGCCAACCTATTCTCGGTATTCGCATCATCATAATTCGTATAACTATTCGTATGACCATAATCATTCGTATAGCCACTATAACTATAATAATGAGTTGGTCTCGTATTATCAAACGGAACGTTTGAATCTTCATCTATTATAATCGTTCGATGCGTCCCATCTTGAACATATGAATAATCTATTGCGGGGCAAAAGAAAAAGAAATTTATATGTATATATATATATAATCTTATATTTATTTAGGAATTCGTATTCTGTATAAATGCATCCTCATGCTTGGCAGCAGAGCCTAAGGTTCAATCCCTTCTATGTTCTATTATTTACCTGGGAACAGAATTTTTTTTGTAAAAAATTGTTTTTTGCCACCATTATATAGCACACTCAAAACACTCAAACCACCCAACACACTCCGCATTTTCTGGCGTGTAGAAAATAAAAACTCTATTTTTTCATATTATAAATTTATTATAAAATACCATATATTTGACACATACAATAATGACCATATCCTCGGTATGGTGGTGGACGAAAAGACATTGCGAAAATTTTTTTTTTATTCGGAATAAGAATTGTTTTTTCAAAATGCAATTATGTCATATTTATAGTTTTTCTTATACGTAAAAACTGTTCTGCGGCTAAATGGCCACATCTGATGATAATCGGCAAAGTTTTTTGATTATCGCGGAATGTACCATTGATGACGAATGATTACGTACTAAGACAAAAAAGAACTTCTAAATAAGATAATCAAACGACGTGTGAAAAAATTATATTTGGCCATTAATGACACTATTCTAAAATGTTATAATATTAACACCTAATAAGATTAGCGACACGAATTTTTCCGGGGAAACTGTTTAACCGATTTAACATTATTTTCCGCTCTTTCTTATTAAATATTGACAATTGTTACAATTGAATTTTTAGTATGATTTATCATTGGTTTTTTTGGTTTTGAATCATGAAATATTTTTACTTTGATTAGCAAAAGATTATTATCAAGTTTAGTTTTTATCGATTGGCATGTGCCAAACGGCTTTCATCACTTAAAATAATCTGAAGATATCAATGCCATCGTGTCATTCTTATCGACCTTAATCAAGAAGAAAGTAATATATATTTGTCTCAAACTTGCAGGACTGCCATATAATACAGACAAAATTAGATAATTTTACACTCTTGTTGCGTAAAAAAAAATAATTTAGCTTTTGAACAAGTAAAAATCGAATAATTCCTATTAACAAGAAATTAATTGGTGAATCATTTAAAGGATGGGATTTTGTTTTCGATGTTAGATCATTACCGAGAAACGATGAGCGTATTTTTTCATGCCATATTTGACCTAACATGTTGATGAAGACGTTTGGTATTTTCAAAGAGGTCTGTAATCTTGCATAAACAGTCTACTATTTGGTTATTATCAAGCCGTATACCAATTATATTTTATCTAATTTTCATATTTTTACGTAGCAAGCAATACGAGTATTATTCTATTTAGATCTATTTAGAGGAAATGTTTTTTATTGAGGTTTTAAATAAACAACTGTTAAACTGCTATAACTAACTAATTGTTTAAACAAATTGGATTAAAGCGATCGATTTTTCGTATAGTTAATTTATAACAATGTTGAAACTTTGTTGGGCATATCTACTTTCTTCACTCAAATGTAATATGTCATAGCATCCCGAAGAATCTCGCATCATAATCATGATGATGAAGATACGTAATGTTATTTTCCATTTTAATTACAAATTGTAAGATTTCTTAAATATATATATTACTAAAATAATAACTCTTCCAATTACAACAATATCGAGTATACGGTACTATAAACAGTCGATGCAAATTCTTTAATGCTATTAGACTCCAAAAAAAATATCCACGACGTTCACAATGTTGGAATCGATCATTTGTTTTGAATTCTATTGAAATTGAATTTCAAGCTACAAATGATCACTTGTAATATGATTGTTGACGTGCCGTATCATATCACCAAAAGGTGCACATTGCTTTTCTAAAATTACCTTCTTTGTTCAGAGACAGCTTGGTAAGAAATCCTTGTGTACACATTTTAAATTCTTTCCCTCCCTATCTTCTATCAACACTCAAATAAACTTGAAAAAAGTCTCTGATTGATATTCTACCCAGGTTAAATTTTTTTGGTTCTCCATTATTTTTAAATACAAATTATCTAATTAAATGAACCAACCATATTTAATAAAATTATGAATTTATTTCATACTTATGAAATATACAAGTATATATGTATATATTTAAATTGTAATGAGAAATGACTAAAATCGATTTAATGACTAAAACTTATTTTTGAGGAGGTTCCTTTGGATTAGCAACTGTGGAAGATGTGAATGAAGCGTCGGTTGAATTTGTGGACGCGGATGCTGATGCAGGTTCGGATGAGGACTTTGACGTGGATGTAGAAGCGGACGTGAGCGCGGACGTGGATGCTGATGTGGTTGTAGTCGTGGTTTGTGTAATTGGTGTCGGTGTAGTCGGATTTTTTATAGAACCTGTGGGAAGATTAGGATGAGAAGGTACAACTAATCTAGATGGTGTATAAGGTGTAGCAACAGTATTGCTAGTGCTGCTACTATTTATAATAGATGAAGAAGAATTTGGAAAAGTTTTGACAGGTTTTCGTGTCAATTTAGAACTTAATGTGTTTGGTAATAAAAATCCTTGTTTTAATAAATTTGCTGAAAATTTTCTCGTTTCAGGTTTTTTAAAAATTTTATTATTTATTTCCAATGCTCTACGATATAAACGTGGAACCCCATACATCTAATTTATGGTATTATTGTCGGAAAAAAGAAAAAAGATTAGTATCCAGATAAAGAACATGCCATATTTTGGCACTAATTTAAAAAAAGAAATACTATTTTCGGATAAAAATTTGGTATCCAAATAATAAACATACATTGGCAATACCAAATATTAATAATTTCTTTCCAATAGATGTTGCCAGAATTTTTATTGCATATCTTTGCCATGACATTATCTTTTTTTTTTTTTTGATATTTGGAAAAAGGAATAAAAAAATTGTACTAAAGAGTCAATTTATTAATTTCACGTGAAGTGAATAAATAGTTATTAACTAAACTATAATTGGTAATTAATTTATTTCGGGATTTTTATTTTAGCGCTTACCGATCTATGCTTTTCGCGCAAGTTTGTCCAATTCTTTTTTAGTTTTCTCTAAATCATTTTTTACTTTCATTAATTCTTCTAAAAAAAAAAAACAAAAATTTAAATTAATTAATCAATATTTTGCTCGAAAACAAATTATAAATAAAACACAAACTTTTTTTATCGGTTTTAAGTGCTTGTATGTCTTCCACGAGGAATAATATATTTGTATTTGTCTTCCTTTGATATACCGTCTTTTATAAATAAATAATATAAAAAATTAGAGTACATTACAAGGTGAAGGGAAGTATAAACAACTTACAGCATTAGTTCGTAATGAAGATAATTCTACGTTCACTAAATCAACTCGTTTATACTATAAATTATTTGTACATTAAATTATTAATTTTTTTTTTTTTTTATAAAAAAAGATGAACAATTTATTTGATACCTCTTTTTCTAATTGTTCAAGTTTAGCCTTTATTAATCGAATATCTAAATTTGACATATTTTCGATTAAAAAAAATTCAAAAAGAAAGAGATTAAAAACAAGGGAACATCATTTAACTTCGACTTATACTGCGTTATCAGTCACGTCAATCACGTGTCATTAAAAGATCAGTGTAACGTTATAGGGTTTCAAAGTTCTAGGACTCTCGCGTTCTTAAAAGTGAAAATTCTGAATGACGTATTGTGCCACAAGAAGGCTTGTATAACAATCCATTTTATTTATATAACTAATAACCTTCTTTTCATTGTTCTTACAAATTTTGTTTTTCATCTTTATCATCTTTGTTGTAAAATCCGTTACTTTCATAATGGAACACATAGGAACAAAAAAATTTTGGGTATATGTAAAAGATACACCAAGAGTGACATCAGTTAAAGTATCAGTGGATGAAACAGCAGAAACAATAATTGAACAAGCAAAACCAAAATATGGACCAGAAATTTCACAATATTCTTTAATTGAATTAACACTTGTTGATAGTACGGGATTAATTATAGATCCTACTACTGATATTAAAGACATTACAGATGAAAATTCTAGAGATAAACCTTTTGAAATTAAAATAATTAATAATGAAGGTAATTTCGTGGAAAATAAAGGTATCATTTAATTTCTTGACTCTTGATTCTTTTATGATATTACTTTTCTTTTTTAACTTATTTTTTTTTTTTTTTCTTTGAAAGATATCCAAATTTTTGTTCTCATAAAATATGAAGGAGATGGTGTTTATTATCCTACGGCAGTAAATTTTAAAAGTCAATACGATGTAGATGAATTTCTCGGTATACATCATTTACAATCTGTTGATCTTGAAGGAAGACCTACTGGTACTCATAGAACTCGTAAATATAAAGATCTTATACCAGAATCCTACTATATCGTTGCTTAATATTTTAGACAAATATTATTGAATTTATTCAGTCTAAAAAGTTAATTACTCATATAAATAAGTAAATTCACTGTATATTATTCCTCATCTTTAAATAGAAATATTACAAAGGTTCTCTTTTTTTTTTTAAAAAAAAAAATCACAATACATTATTTAAATACAATACATTATTTAAGTAGGAAAGAAAAAATTCGCTACTAAATTTCATGGAATTTATATAAAGTTGTACAGAGTACTTTACACAGAATGCGTGATTCATTATACATCGTGCAACAATAATGATTGCCTTCACGTATCATTCACTTTGTCGAAAGTTTGACGTGAATCTCAAAATACAAAGTTCGATTCTCGGAATTTCGCTTAGAACAATAAAGAGTTCGTGATATATTTAATTATTTGTTCGTGACTTTATGCTTCTTTTTGGTAAAACAAGATAATTTGATAGATAATTAGAAACAAAATAACACTTTAAACACATACTTCAATGGCATAGTTTAAAGTCTTTCATTTATGGTGTACTCTCAATCAAATACTCAAGCAAATCAACAAGGCACCAGTGTAAAGCTGAGATTTAACGAATATATTGTTCTATAAATAACAGCCACAAATGGCTTAGATATTGGATAATACGTTGTAAATTCAATTTTTCAAGTCTGAATGGAATCAAATCAAATTTAAATCAAATCTAATCCTAGCATCAGGTATTTGAACAGTGCCAAGTATGAAAAATTTTGCATTGTTTGAGTGTAGATAAATGATCATATTACAATTTTGAATTTTATTTGATCAATTATTTCAAAACTTTTTCGTTAGATGAGTGGCGTAATCAACAGAATGGTAAACGATGTTTAAATTATCGTAGTTCAGGCAGCAATATGAATGGATTATTACTTATATAACCGGTAAATTTATGGTCTTTTCTGAAATAGATTTATTTTTGATTTATTTAGGGTTGAAATTTTCTTTCCTTTGATGAATATCGTGCAATTATAGTTTTAGTTTTTTTTTTTGAGGGGTAATAGGTGATTCTGAGAGATAGCGGAAGAGGGTAATGATTTATTATTGTCTTTAATCTCCACTTCTCATGGTTTTTTTAATATATATATACTTTATATAATTATCTTAGATATTAATTGATTTCTTTAAGAATCACCAATAACTTTTAACTTCCTCCATCAAAGAATAACAGGAAGCGAGTTCGTGCTACTTTCGAACAACTAGCATTCTTAGAAGATACATTTAAAATTAATCCCTCTCCAAATAGTAATGTTCGTGAAGCCTTTATTCTCTGAAAATTTGTTAAACAATAAACTTGTTTTAAGAAATGGAAAAGAAATCAAAAGCAAAAGTACTAATGATGGAGCGATTGTTTGATGAAATAGAAGAAACGTGTATCGAAATAAATTAATCTACACATTTTCCAATAATTCTTAAAAGAATACTTAAAAATAAATTAAAATCTCCCAATCATTATTTCATGAATATTTTAATATTTTCTATTACTTCTATTGTTTATACCATAACCTGATTAATTTGCAAGAGCTATAATAAATCTTTTTAAAATTCAAGTAAAAGTTATTTGATTCGTTTATACGTATAACTATAACATGATTATTCGCAGGAATAAATCAAATTTGATAAAGTTCTCATTAATAACTCCCCGACTTCATTATTGTATAATGATTATCTTTCGTAATGCCAACGATCTAAAGTTGACATAATTCACAAATCTCAGATAAATACAAGATCGTTTGCAGTAGAAACACACTGACAGCCATATCAGACGTAATCTATTAAGTGCATTAAGTGCAAGATATATTTGTGTAATAAAAGCAAATTACAGATTTTATGATTTTCTACATTCTTTAATTAAGTACGCTTACATATATTCAAGTTAATCATAGATATTTTTACGGTTCATTTTCCAACAACTCAACATCCGCTTTGTAGAGATCTAGAGATCACATAAAGTAAATCTATTTAATAAAAAAAATCACGAGTAAATGACGTAACGCCTTCGCTTCTTCCATTTTTCGTACAGTCGCTTAGACCTCCTTCAAGATGCCCACTTCAAAACTAAAGAATCTAAAAAAAATAAGCAATGTCAGTAAAATGCTTATTTTTTTAAAAGAAAATAACAAAGAAAAACTTTCGAAGTTGGACGAACTCACAGCGTAAAATTAACCGCGTAATAAATTTAGGAAATACACAATCAACAGATTGAATAATCAATCATTCATACTTGTACTTACTATATATAATGATAGAAAAAATATTTTATAGAAGACTGATCCATTAAAAATTTGATATGCAAATGAATCGTTTATTTGTAAATGAAATTATGCAATCCGATTCAATATGTCTGAATTATTGGTAGACATATGTCTTTTATATCTTTCGCGCTGAATCAATCACCAATTTCTTCTGTTAAAACTTCCTGATAATGTCCACGAGAAATAATACGATTATAATTGACATGAAAAACAAGTAAATGATTATATTTTTTCTTAGATAAGAAGCCGTTAGGAATTTGGGAGGGAAATAAAAAAATAAACATTGATCTCCAGTAGTATGATATATAACTATGTGAAACGCGAAACAAGTTTAAGACTATTTTTGTTTAATTACTAGCCATTTTTGCTATTTACTCTAGAAATTCCTTATTGGTATTGTGTAAGCATAATATTCCATAACTCGATATTGGGGAATTGATGATTACAATGATAGTGATGGATGAATATGAACAATAACATAATCCCTTAGTTATGATATGATCTCAGTTATAATGATCAATTATTTCAATTATCGAATTATCGGCTATACGGTGTAGAATTTTAACATTATCATACTAACCATTCTTACCAATTTTAGAACAGATGTCATACTTTATATTCTCGTATAATAAAAATGATAATTCTGACACGTGAGTAGCGAGTTTATTGAACTTCGAATGTACGTCACACGATGAATCTTGGCCTTTATGGTGTTTAGATCCGTATTTATTAAACCTACCACGTATAGAAACTTTCCAAGTTTAATCGTTCATATGCATCGAAATGATTTCAGAACAATTCGAATAAACTAAAAATGTCTGGTTCCTTATGATCAGAACTTTCAAAGATATACTGTAAATATTCTGTGAAATACGAACAATCTATTTATGTTAGGAGCGTAACGAAAGATTATATAATATATATTAAAATAATAAGGCTCTAAAGGTTAACACTTTATAATTTACAAAAATAAGTGACCAATTAAGTTTTATTTATAATTTGAAATTAATTTTTTTAATTCTGATCATAATTTTACTTAAATATTTTAAATATTCAGGAATGTATTAAGATTATTATATAATTATTGTCATTAACCAATAAAAAAAATGTTAACCGTTTCTGTATTTTATATAAGCTTGGGCATTTTAAATGAACTTTTTAAAAAATTGAATTATCATTCTCAATATTTCTTTATTTGATTTATTTATTCAGTTTTAAAAGTTTTAATTACAAATGAATTACAGGATCAATAACGTAATTAATAAATATTTAATTTAATAATATTTAATTTAATTAATTGTTGCCTTAAAGCTTATATGTTTTAAATTCGAACTTTTAACATGCTTGTCTAAGTTAATTCTCTCTATGTCATATAATCATACATTATGTCACTTGAATATATAATTATAGTTGGAGTTTAGGCGCTTTTTTTTGCTGCAGTTCTACGGGAAGTTCCTTTTTGTAAAGCCATACAGCTATAGTAAAACAAAATTTTGAACTTTGTTTTTTCATGAAATCAAATTAATATAATATATAAAGACTTCTTTTCTATTTTTGCAATCTCGTTATAGATGCAAATATTTTACATGAATGATCATTTTAATGGTCGATAATACCGATATTACAAATTATATAATTGTAATTCCTTTATTATTGTTCGCTAATATCCGAAATATTTATTCCTGAATTCATTTAACAATTAATGTATGGATTAATTGAACATTTAACAATAACGTATGGATTAATTGAACATTTAACAATAACGAATAATGTATGGATTAATTGGACACTTCAATCATCACAAGCGTTCGCTTATTGAACAACATCAATCATCACAAAGTGTTCTCTTACTATTGAATCGTTAATTTACCATCTACGGTATCGGAGTTTAAGATCCGATACATTCAATTCAAAATTCGAATATTTATTTCCGGGATGTTTTTAAACTTACGGAGTTTCGGAATTCGAATTTTAACTATAAATTAATGTCGGAGTTTCGGAATTCGATGTTTATTTCGGAATATTTTAATGAAGTTTCAAAAAAAAATCGTAAATAAATTCCTTAGTCTCCGAATTATTTTTATTTGTATTCTTTTTTAGTAATTGAAAAAAAAAATGATCACCTTTTTTAAATTTGATCGAAATTTAAGTTTTCGATCAAGTTAATTAATATAGACAAGCATATATGTCATATGTGTACTGTATGTATGAGTATAACAATTTTCGCCGGTGAAAGCCATCATAGGCATCATTTCAAATTCCAAAACGAAAGTAAATGTAAATGATTTAACTATACAAGAGAAACAAATTACTTTTTATTTTCTACATAATTAGTTCAAATCTGCATGTAAGAAAAACGCCTAAAACCAAATTTGATTTTTTAAACCAAAAAAAAAAGTGTGCAAAAAAAAAATAATAAGAATTTATGTCAAACTTTATTTAAAATATTAAATTTGTACATTTGGCGTTCTTTTCTTTTCATTATAAAGTGATTTTTTGGACTTACAAATCACATTATATTTGGTGATGATTTAAAATTCTAAATTTGAATTGTTCAATAAGTTAAGAATATTGTAATAAGAAATATATATACTGTATATATATTGTCTCTTATACACATCTAGATGTGTATAAGAGACAGCTGTATATATATATATATATATATTTGTGCCTAAAGAAAATCCCACGCAAAAATCCGTCAATAATAAGTTCATAGAATGACAAAATTCCATGCAGATTTACAACGGCCAATAATGTAAATTTTACTTTTTAGGAATTCAAACTGTTCAAATATGTCGTCAAGTATGTCAAGTATCTTTCTAATCGCGATTAAATCATTATTTCATTATTCTAAAATCTAA